CACGGACTCGCCTGTGTCCTCATACTCTGAGCAGCACTGGCCGCCTTCGCGGTACAAGGACATCTTAGCATGGTTAATATTATCGTAGCCTCATTTTTCATAAAGAAAATGAACCCAAAGCTCTGGAAGGGAGCAAGGGTGGTGGCCTACACACAATGAGAGAGAGAGAGAGAGAGAGAGAGAGAGAGAGAGAGAGAGGAGAGAAAAAAGAACCTGTCAGAAGTATCTGAGGACATGCAATTAAAGTAGTGGTATGAGTAGCCCCCATATTAACAAGTAGGAATGGGTGGTATTTAATGTGCATTTACTGCATCCTTGCCCCTGTTCTAAGTACTTTCGATGTTTTGATTCACTTAATCCTTTTAAGAGCAGATGAAGGAGGTCCCGTTATTCCTATTTTGCAGATGAGTCCCTAGAAGGCAGGACCACTAAGTGTGAGACCACGTACCTTTTCAACTTTTAGGGGGAGTCCAAAGAGCAGGAGCCCTGGTTCCCCGTTCCAGAAGAGGGGTGTTCAAGCTGCCTTGTGCAGCTATGGCGGGGAAGCCGTCTAGAACCTTCGCAGCAACTCCCGGCACAGCAGTGCTGCATTTTTCCAAATAAGTTTTAATTTGAAGAAAACACTAGTAACTAAAAAAAAAACAAAAAACGTTAACTCTGAGCATGCCCACTCTACACAATTATCTCAAAGGAGACAACTGTCCACGGGAAGTTCTCCGTCACAAAGTGACTTCCAGGAGGATCCAGCCAGTGAAAGAGTTTTAATTGGACTTCAGGGTGTTTTTTAAAAGTTAAATAACTTGCCAGCACTTAAAATATCATGAGATTTCACATAATGATCTGAACCTGGCAATACAGAGCCTGCCTTCCCGCGTGGCAGTGGCCAAGTGGAGTTGGGCAGCAACTGTCCACTGGGCAGGAACTTCCCAATTCTCAACGCGCCCACCCGGGGCCCTTCAGGCGCGGGCAGTCCCTGCTGGCCCTGTGGGCACTCAAGCATGCCAGCCCAGTTCCAGAAGCTCAGGTCCTCCTTCTAAATGCAAACGCATCCCAGGTTAGAGCATCACTTGGAATTCCTCCAGAACTGTCCCTTTTGGCTTCCCAGTTCTTCCCAAGGCAGCTGACCCTTCACCAAGTGTCCTGACCCACTTCTGACTTCAAAGGAGCCGGCGGGCCTGCTGCTCGATAGTGGCCTGTGGACATCTGGATGAAGTCTGCAGGCACTGGGTGTCGTCGGCCTCCAACCAGTAGATGTGCGCAAAGGGCCTCGTACCGCAGCTTCTCTGAAAAGTTTAGATTATTTGACAAGTGGCAGATGCCTTAAGGAAAACACTTTATATTTCCAGATGATACAACTTAGTAAAGATAATCTATTCTGTGAGTGTCTTACCCTTTCTTTCTTTTTATTTTGCCTCGAGTTCATCTCCTCTAAGTAACAAGAGGGTCTTCAAATCCTTCACTGGGTTTGCAAAGAGTCATCATCAGTCTCTCCACTCTTTTTCTGGTCTTTCAAACCCAGATGTAGATATATATGTGTGTGTATAGATATATGTGTATATATGTGTGTATATATAAATATGTATAGATATATGTACATATATCTGCCTTCATCCACACTTTTTTGTTAGTCTTCAAGATGTGTATCCCACTTGGTCCTCCTCAACCAAAGTGATATGATGCAGAATTCTTACTTCCAAAGAAGCAAGAGTTGGGGTGGGGCCTGACTCCCTTGCTGACTAGCGGTGCGACTTTACTCAGAGCCCTGTAACCTCCCAGAACCTCAGTGCCCTCACTGGAGTGCGGAGATAGTACTCAGCAGTCACTGGGCCAGTCGGTCACCCTCACTGAGCACCCATGGTAGGCGAGGCTGGGTTCCAAGCACTTCCCATCCTGCGTGAACAGAGCAGAGGGGGCCCCACCGCCTGGAGCTCAAGGTCTGGAGAGGCAGCCAGGCAGGTGGGGTCCGAATGAGAAGGGCATCGGAGGGGCTGTGCAGGGAGGGGCTGTGCAGGGAGGGGCTGTGCAGGGAGGGGCTGTGCAGGAGGGGGCTGTGCAGGGAGGGGCTGTGCAGGGAGGGGCTGTGCAGGAGGGGGCTGTGCAGGAGGGGCTGTGCAGGGAGGGGCTGTGCAGGGAGGGGCTGTGCAGGAGGGGCTGTGCAGGGAGGGGCTGTGCTGCGAGGGGCTGTGCAGAGAGGGGCTGTGCAGGGAGGGGCTGTGCAGGGAGGGGCTGTGCAGGGAGGGGAAGGCTCCCTGACAGTAGGGTGTGAGCTGTGGTCTTGAGGGTGAGCAGGAATTAGAAGAAGGCAGACGGGGACCTCATCCTAAGCAAAGGGAAGAGCATGCAGACAGACTCTGGGCCGCGGGCAACCCCGAGGGAGTGACGGGGGACAAAGGGGCCCCCTCATCTCTGCCAGCCTCACCCCTGAGGCCCTCAGTATTGCAAGGATAGGACCATGGAGACACACCGCGACCCAGAAGCGCCCCGTGGCCCCGAGAACAGGCATGTTGTCAGCTTCGGAGCCGTCAGAAGGACCTTCCTGGTGAGGGCAGCCCACCAGGCTGGGCTCGGGCTCTGGCTCCCCGCCAGGGTCGGAGCCGCACACGAAGCCTGCTCTGTGGGCAAGTTTCAAAGGAAAGAGCTGAGGAGAAGGAGCTTGTGCCAGCAACACCGCGTGTCACCCCTCCCCAGGCAGTTCGAATCCCTCGGGCCCTCTTGGCTTCCAGAAACAACGTGGCCTCTTCAAGAGCCAAAGAAAATAGTGAGGGGGTGGGAGGGACAGGGCATGGGGATGGGACTTGGAGGGACCTTTCCACGAAAAGAAATAAGCTGTGTCCTCCAACGCCAGGGCCCCGATACCCTCTCTGCCAGGTCTCAGCTTGGGACCAAGGGCGGAAGAATTTCAAGGCTCATAAACATTTCAAGGCATGGGAGTACCAGGGGAGTCCAGGGCCCTTCGTAGGGTTACTCGGGTCAGAACCCTGGAGGAAAGCACCGGACTCAGGAATGGATGTGCTCTTCCCGGAGCCCGTGCTGGCCACGAGGCGTCCCCACTGGCCAGTGGGCGAACCCCGCCAGCCGCCCGGTTGCCCTCCTCGTCCACCGGGCAGAGGCAGTGGCATCCGCCTCAACGACGCGGGCACAGTAGCGACCCCTCGATCCACCTGCACATAGAATTCAGATTAAAATTTTTCAATAAATTAAAACAAATCTATTGTTTAAGTTTAACTGCCCCTCAATCCACTCTAGGGAAGGAACATAAATTCCTGGAAGGGCTCTGAGTTTTAAGGGGAGCTTCCTTCTTTGAAAATAACCCCGTCATGCCTATTGGGAGGAGGTGAGGAATTTGAGAGGCTGATTTGGGGCGGGGGTGCTCAAGGAGTGGTGCCCCTGACAGGGCAGAGAACCCGTCCCCGGCCTCAGACTGGAAGCTTCTCAGCTCCACTGGGGACGGTGGCGGTTACTACAGCATTTAAAGGGGGGATCAGAATAGCCTCACTGCCATTAGCTGTGCAGACCCACTCGTGAGTGACCCTGCCTTGGTCCACGCAGCCTGAGCCTGTCAGTGATGTCACGCTCTGCCCCCCGCTTTTCTCCTGGGGCCTCTTTATTCTCTCTGGCTCTCCAACCCTGCCTCTCTTTCTATGTGTCCTTCTTCTCTGTGCTGAGCCTCGAGGACCCGAATCAGAAGAGCTTAGCTTTCAAGTTCAGACAAGTTCAAATCCCAGCTCTGCCCCACACTGGCTGTGGGATCTTAGGCAAGCCTTCCATGACCCTCGGGTTCCTCATCGGTGACCTCCCAGGGAACAGGGACCACACCCCTTGTTCACCATGAATCCTTCACGCACAATTCCTTGCTTTGCACATAGTAGGTGTTCAATGATAATCTTAATAAGAGCATTAAAATCTTCCAGGCTCTGTTCTTAAGTACTTTTATACATATTAACTCACTTATTCCACAGAACAACCCTCTGATACAGGCGCTATCATTATCCCCATTTTACCAGTGAGGAAACTGAAGCTCATGTATTGACTCCATGAGCACATGAACGAGTACTGTGACAATAAGAATTATTTAAGTCAAGGAGCCTGACCGAGTACCTGGTACCTCGCCTCTTCCGTATCCTGTGTCTGCCGCACTTCCTGTTTCCCCTGGCACTGGGACACAGCTGTTAAGCACCCAGTCTCCACCCAGGAGGTGCCATGGCCACTTTCCAGCCTCCCAGAGAGGATGGCACCCACTTCTGTCTGGGTGTGTACAGGGTTCCTCTGAAGGAGGGAAGGGTTGCTGGTCTTAGGACAAAAATTCCTTAAAATGCTGCCAAAATCACAAAAATAACACTGTAACAAATCCCCCACTCCCGTTCCCCCAGAGGAGTCTGCTGCGGTGATCCAAGGCCTGCTGGACACGGGGCGACATCTCTCCAGCCCTCAGCCCTTGGCACAAGATGGCCAGAGGCCGTGCACAAACCTATAGCTAGTATTGGCAACTGTCCCTAAGAGCCGAGGGAATCCAATCAGCTTCAAAGGGTGCCTGGCATACAGGAGGATTAATAACTATTGAACTGATTGATGATTTTCTATGTACCACACAGCCTATAGACATTAACGCTAAACTGCATAACAGCCCTGTGTGTTGGGCATATTATCCCCATTTTACAGATGAGGACACTGAGGCTTAAATTTCGATGGACCTGGACCAAGGGGAAAACGGCAGAACCAGGATTTGAACCCAGGCTTGTCAGGCTCCAAAGCCTGTGCTCTTGACACCATGTCTGCAACTGAATCATTGAAGGGCCTTGTTTCTTCCTTCTCCACTAATTCCCCTCTTTCTGGGCCTCCAAAACTAGACCTGGGCACTCCTAAGCCATGACGCCCTGTCATTCATTCCCTCTCCTGCCCTAAAGGCCACCCGCAGGGTCGGGTCTCCTCTGGTTTTTGCTGCAGAACAGAAGGTGGCCTGTAGGGGGCGTCGTCCCTCACTGCTCTCTCCTTTGGTGTAGCCTGCGACTCCTACTGGTCATCCGTGCACCCCGAGTACTGGACTAAGCGCCACGTCTGGGAGTGGCTCCAGTTCTGCTGCGACCAGTACAAGCTGGACACCAGCTGCATCTCGTTCTGCCACTTCAACGTCAGCGGCCTGCAGCTGTGCAGCATGACCCAGGAGGAGTTCGTGGAGGCGGCCGGCCTGTGCGGCGAGTACCTGTACTTCATCCTCCAGAACATCCGCTCGCAAGGTGGGTGCCCGAGCGGGCGGGGAGGGCTCCAGGCTGGGACCAGATGACCTCCTCAGGTCCTCCCCTGCGTGTGACGCCCACAGCAAACTTTCACTCACTGGAACGTTCCCTGGGCCGGGATCCGTTCACCAAAACCTCAGGAACTGGCAGCTCCTGTGTCCCAGAACATGCGCTCGTAGGAAAAAGAAGCAGGTACAGGAAAGCGAGTTGAGTGTATTTTTAAAAAGAAAAGAAAAACTAAAAATAACATTCTGGGACCACCCAGGAATGAGGTTGATACCACAAAATAACGTATTATGTTTATAAAGACTGGCAGCTAGCCCTGGCTGGTTTGGCTCAGTGGTTAGAACACCGGCCGGCAGACTGAAGAGTTGTGGGTTCGATTCCGGTCAAGGGCAACTACCTAGGTTGGGGTTCGGACCCCGCCAGTCAGGGTCCTGCAGGAGGCAACCAATAGATGTGTCTCTCTCACATCAGTGTTTCTCTCTCTGTCCCCCTCTCTCACTCTATCTGAAGATAAATGGAAAAATATCCTCTGATGATGATTAAAAGAAAGAGAGAGATTGGCAGCTATAAAGGGCAGGCACAGGAGGTTTCTGCTTGACCTTTCATTACAGTGAAAGAGAAAAAAACTAACTAGACCTTTTCCTTCCTGTTTCCAGAGGAGTCAGGCTCACTTCCTTTTGTCCAGTGGTTCTCAACCTTCCTAATGCCGCGACCCTTTAATTCCTCATGTTGTGGTGACCCCCAACCATAAAATTATTTTTGTTGCTACTTCATAACTGTAATTTTGCTACTGTTATGAATTGCCATTGGAAATATGTGTTTTCCGATGGTCTTAAGCGACCCCTGTGAAAGGGTCATTCCACCCCCAAAGGGGTCACGACCCACAGGTTGAGAACCGCTGCTTTTGTCCCATTCCTCATGGTCAAGGACCAAGCAGCCAGAAGGTGGCTCTAGTCACATGATTTAACGCTTCAACCTGCTCGGGGAGAGTAGACTGTGGAACAAGATTTTTGTAGGTTTATTTTTTTATCCTCACCCGAGGACATTTTTCCTTTTTTTGTTGTTCAAATAGAGTGGGAGGGAGAGAGAGAAACATCAACATGAAAGGGACACATTGAGTGGCTGCCACCCACACGACCAACCAGGGCCACGACCAACCAGGGCTGGGGACAAACTGCAACCGAGGCACGTGCCCCCAGCGGGAACCGAACCTGGGTCTCTCTGGACCACAGGCCAAACACTCTAACCGCTGAGCCAAACCAGCCAGGGCTGTTGTTTTTTTTTTATATATATGTGTTTTTATTTGTTTATTTTTTTCTTTATTAATTTTAGAGAGAGGAAGGGAGAGGGGGAGAGAGAGAAACATCAATGTGAGAGAGAAACATGGATCAGCTGCCTTCTGCACAACCCCTACTGGGATTCAAACCCACAACCCAGGCATGTGCCCTGACTGGGAATCAAACCAGGACCTCTCAGTCCATGGGGCTATGCTCAATCCACTGAGCCACACTGACCGGGTTGGAACAAGGTTTTTAAACCTGGAAAGGTTGTTTGAGAACATATAATTCTGTATCCCCGTGTCACAGATAAAGGAACAGAGGTCCCAGGTGGTTATATGTGACTTCTCCAAGGCCATGCAGCAAACAGGGCTGTTTCATAGAAGGTTAGTACAAAGCAGGGGCTTTGAGGTCAGAAAGACCTGCATCCCAACCCGGTTCCAACACCTTGGAGCCATAGGACCTCTCTGAATCTCCACGGCCTAGTCTGTACAGTGGGATGATACACAGCTCCACAGCTTCTTGACAGGAATCAGTGAAAATGACCCGGCACAGCAGAAAGGGGCCCCAAAGCAGTGAGTGACAGCTGTTCTTATCATCATGCATATAACCAAAAGGCAGGCATTTTTAAAAATAAAGGAAACACATCTCAGCTCAATTTTAGGAAACACCTTTCTAAAAGTTAGCACCTTCTTTTGAACAGGCTGCTTCAGGAGATAGCAAAGGTAGGAAGCTTCGTGTCACTGGAGATAATCAAGCCGTCTGATAGCCCTTGCTTGATGAAAATGCTGTGGCAGAGATTCCTGTTTGAATAGAAAACCACAGAGACCTTCTGGGTCTAGGGTTCTTGGCCCTCCTCTTGATCATCAGCCATCACGAGTGTTTGAGGACAGGGGAGCTACGGAATGTCTGAAATCACAGAGGCCTCCCCGAGGGACGGCCTTGCACATGACCCCAGGGCCATGGAGAGGATATTCCATCCTGGAAGAGGCCCTGCCAGCCATAGCCAACCATCAGGTCGATCAAGTTTATCTCCGGGCCCCAGCAACCCCTGTACTGGGGTCTCCCAGCTCGGGCACCTCTGTCCCCTGGCACTTGTTACATTTGAAAAAAAAAAAAACCCTGTTCCTGGTCGCATTACCTCAGTGTCTGAGCAGAAGAAAAATGTAAAAACCAACAGTTTTTTAAACAGGCCATAAGTTGCCTCTTCTTATTCTAAGAAATGTCTGACATCACAGAGGCACCCGGAATGGTGGAATTTCAGACACGTTAGACCAGGGCAGTCACCATGCTGAGCAAGAAGACCCGCTGCTCTCTCAAGTTCCTCCGCGGTGTCCCTCAGATGGGAATGTGCAGTGTGTATTAAAACACATGCGCCGTGGCCAGGGTTTACGGTGTCCCGGTCTGCCCGGGTATCTTCACCCATTGTCCAGGGATGCGTATTATTAGCGCTAGCTTTCATTCTCAAAAGTGTGCCATGCGGGACATCTGGAATACTGTCAACAATAAATTTCTTTTTTAAGTATAGGGTGAACTGGTTGTTACCTGGTTTAGGCCTGACATTACCCCAAAGATCGGGGCTCTGGCAGACAAGGATGCAAGAGCCAAAGGGAGCTCTGGGGCCCCACGTGCTGTCTGGCTCAGTCGGTTCCATAGGACTTAAGGGCCTAGAAACATGGGACACTGGTCACTGGCAGTGAGGTCAGCAGGCAGGGTAGAGGGCGGAGGGGCTTCCACAGCGGAGGAGAACAGGGCCCCGCCAATCCCCATCCTGTTCTGGGGCAGCCCTGGGAGTGAGCTGGGTGCCGTGGCTGACGGGACCACTCAGAGAGCGACACCAGGAATAAACAGTCACAAATGTGCCTCCCCTGTTCCGGTCTCCTCAGTAAATGGGACTTAGTCCTCACGTTGGGCACCCAGCCAGAAAGCGGGTGTCCTTTGGCCTGTGCAGCTTCAGGAAAACATGATCTGAAACTCCTCATCCACCTCCAGCCCACCCATTTTTGAGAAAGGCAAACCGAGGCCCAGTAGTCTCCCGAATCCTCGTGCAATCCTCACAGCAGGCTGTGCCCTCCTTGTGGCCTCCTATGTCCATTTCCCCCTTCGACCAGCACCCAACACGCATGCAAATCCCCAAAGAATTAGAGGCCAAGCGACAGACCACAGACCCTTAGAGCCAAAGGGGAGCTCGGTGGTGGTTTCGTCACGTGTTGTCAACGAGGAACACGAGCTGGGAGACTGAGTGATTGGGCGAGGCCCAGAGGGGTCAGTGGCCCAGGCCTCCTGGCCCCAAGCCAGGGCCCACTCGAAAAACCTTAGAGGCTGCTGGGACAGCTGGCCCTGGGGCTGTCTCCCGTTGGCCTTTGGAAACAAGGAGATTGTCACCTCTCATGGGTGGCTTCACAGTGGCCCTGTAAAGACCAGGTGGTGTCCAAGACCCCTTCTGAAATAAAACTACCCCACAGTGGGGACATTCAGTCCCCTTCTTCCCAGCATCTCTCTCGGGGCCGGAGCAGGGGGAACAATATCTCGGGGCGTGATATGAGTTGTGCTTTTCTTTTTCTCTCTCAGGTTACTCCTTCTTTAGTGATGCTGAAGAGACCAAGGCCGCCATCAAAGACTGTAAGTAGCCGCGTTCAAGCTGCCCAGGCTCTGCTGAGGCTGCTGGTGGGCGCATAGGCTGAGCAGGTTTTAGGACTATACTGGAAGATGGATGGCCTGGAACAATCACAGACGAGAAGACGGCAGGAAAAATGCAGTGGGCAGAGCCTGGGGCTTGGGTTTATGGTTTCCTAGCCTAGCCGAGACTCGGTTTCCTTATCGAAACACGATACGGACGTTCCAGAAACAGGGCAGAGTGCCGGGCAGGTGCCAGCAGCACAGATGCTCCAAGCACTGGTGTCCGCTAGCAGTAATCACCCTAATTACCAGCCATTAGAGGCCTTGTGGTTGATAGTGTCGACAAAGAATCCGCACTCACTAACCCGGTCATTACAAGGCGAGGGAGGACCTCAAATGGCCTTGCTATTCTGCAAATCAACCCTCGCTGTTTTGCTTTAGCAGATGGAGGAGGTTTAGGAAAGGGAACTTTGTAGCTTTGATTTCTTAAAGATGATGCTGATGATGATTACTGTCAGTTACGAGCCCACGCAAAGGCTCTGGCTTGGGGTCCAGGATATGGGTCCTGGGCAGGCCCCTTCCCTCCCGGACTTCGGCTCATTTATCTGCAAAAGGAAGACAGGGCACATGGTGACTTCCAAAGGGGTGCCAGCTGGGGGGCAGACATGGTTTTGCATGATTTATTTTTTCTCTCCTTAAAGTCCCAAGCAATCAATCGAGGATTCCGAGTATTTGGTTAATGAAGGACTTTTTATTCAGTTTCAGGGCAGGCAGGTCCGAGAATCGCGTGCCGTGGGCTTAGGCGGGTGCCCCAGGCCCCCAGAGCCCAGACGCCCTCCCAGGAGCTGCTCTACATTCCCAGTAGACAAAGCCCCCCCAGAGCTCCCTGCTCGGGTAGAACCCCTTCTCGTCCATTTGCAGCCATCGGGGTGGGGTGGGGGTGCACACCTCAGATTTCACCACAGAGCCCCTAGAAGAATTGAGTCCACCGCGGCCCAGAGGCCATTGCTGAGTCTGAGGCCCAAGGCTGGGTCCCAGGGCAGGCACTTGCTGTCTTTTCTAAGCAGCAGCGTTTGATCTGACCACCCCTTTCTCAGGGGTCAGTGTCTCCACCTATAAATGGGTGTCTATTTGTCAGCCTGCCTTCCTCACAGCAGAGGAGGAGGAGCTTGGGAGGGATACTGTGTCCCCTAAGTTCTTCAGAAGAAGGTGTTACTTGAATATATAATTAGCCACAATTAAAGTCAGTATAAAACAATAATGATGATGATGATGATGATGATGATGATAGCAGCAGCAGCTAGCATTTATTGAGTGCATACTATGAGCCAGGCCCTGTGCTAGAATCTTTATAGACATTGTCTCAGGTAATCTTTTCTATAACCCTATAAGACGAATCCTAGTACCACAGCCTTTTTACAGGGATAGAAACAAAAGCGCAGAGGTTAAGGTGACAAGGGCAGAGATGACAGATGACCAGGGTGTGTCTAATTCTGAAGCCCTGAATTGCTTTGCTTCCTCATCCATTTCTTTCTTCCTCTTTTCTTTCATTCATTTATTCATTTATCAAACATCTATTGAGCACCTACTGTGTGCAAGGCTCAGAGCTAAGCACTGGTCTCTCTGCTTTTACCTGTGTTCCAATCTGTTCTCCGTTCACGAGACAGGATCGTCTCCAAATGTGAATCTTGTCAAACTCCAGAGTCTTTGCTTTACTCTTGGAACAAAATACCAAGTTCTGCAAAGAAGGCCCCAGGTGATCCGGGGCAGCTCCAACACTACCCTTCCTCCTCACACGCTCCTTCTCATCTTAGTCACCCAGAGTCAGTGTCTCCTTCTCATGAGGCCCTCGGGCCACCCTGTCTAAAGCAGGTCCTTTCCTCCACCTTCACTCTCTGTCCAATGCCCTGTCTCCTTTGTAACACTTAAAACCATGGGAGATGTGTTTCATTTATGTTTTACCTTGGCCATTAGTCCTTAAATCCCACATCATCAGGGACCAAGTTTATCTTGTTCACTCTTGTATCCCCAGCACAAAGCCCAGAGCCTGGCACAGGACAGGTCCCCAGTGTTGGATACAAACTCTCCTTAAAGACAATACTGAGTCTTAGGCATCTTTGTACCTCCCACCTACTAATGACCCCGAAGTGCCTAGTGTGGTGTCTTCTACTGCAAAGGTGTTCAATGTGTTTGCTCATTTGGGTGTGATCGGAAGTTGGGATGTGCCCTCCGGACTCCTTCCTACTGCTGTCAATCATTCTGTTCCAGATGCTGACTCCAGTTGCTTGAAAACAAGTGGCATCAAAAGTCAAGACTGTCACAGTCATAGTCGAACGAGTAAGTATAGAAACACAACTTTTCATTTCTAACTTCTTTTCTTTTTTCCCTTTATTGATTTTTTAGAGAGAAAGGGAGAGAGATAGAAACATTGATGAGATAGAACCTCAGTTGGCCGCCTCCTGCACGCCCCCCACTGGAGATCTGGCCCACAACCTGGGCAAGTGCCCTGACCGGGAATCGAACTGGCGACCTCTTGATGCATGGGTCGACGCTCAACCACTGAGCCACACCGGCCGGGCTGGTTGCTGGATTTTGTCAAACGCTTTTTCATTGTCTAGTGATATGATCATATGGTTTTCATCTTTCATTTTGTTTATGTGGTGTATCACATGTATTGATTTGGAAACATTGTATCCGCCTTACATCCAACGATCATTTCATTAATTCCCTAAGAGTCAGTCCGTGGTTCCACAGAGCAAGGACACGGTCCCGGGCCACAGTGTGGCTCGTCAATGTCAGGCGGGCGTTTCCGCATGTGTTTCGTGACTGCTTCACTGCAAGACAGACATGTCACAGCCTGGGAAGGTTCCCAGTAGAGCATTCCATCATCGTGATGGGAGGTACCCCCACAAAGCAGCGATTCTCATGGGTTCATGAGAAGTTGTACAACTCTTCGCATTTTTTCTTAATGTAAGCAACTTTTTTTCCTCCAAAAGGTCTCCAAAGTTCTCACCTATGGGAATTTGTGCGTGACCTGCTTCTGTCCCCTGAAGAAAACTGTGGTATTCTGGAGTGGGAAGATAGGGAACAAGGTATTTTTCGGGTGGTTAAATCAGAAGCCCTGGCAAAGATGTGGGGACAAAGGAAGAAAAATGACAGAATGACGTATGAAAAGTTGAGCAGAGCTCTGAGGTAAGTCAATAGCACGAAATGCCGTGAGCCGCGGGCACAATTCTATAAAACGGCCAGCCAGAGGACATTAAGTTGTTTGGCAGCTTTGTTCTTGATCATCGAAAGATCGTGAGACAGGGCTCTGGTTCTTAGTGGCAGGCGGGGTTATGGTTTGTAAATGGACACGCCGTCCTTTCCGTTCTTGGCGGTGTCCCCGGGGAGCCTCAGAACCCAGGTCAGGTCTCTCACACACACACACACACACACACACACACACACACACACACACCACGTTTTGCGCTGAATGCGGTGAGGTTCGGTCTTCAAGGTGTCTGGGAAAGGGTTAAGTGTAAGCTGATCACAGGGTGTGGAAATACCTGGGCGACCAAAGACCAGCCCCGCCACCTGAGAAGGATGAGGAGAGAGTGTTTGTGTTCTCCTGTGTGCCTGGGGTGCAAGCCCCCCCACGCTTCTCTCTGCTGTCTTTCGCAGGTACTACTATAAAACAGGAATTCTGGAACGGGTCGACCGGAGGCTAGTGTACAAGTTTGGGAAAAACGCACACGGGTGGCAGGAAGACAAGCTATGATCTGCTCCGGCATCTGGCTCCTATTATGGATTTCTGTCTTCTAACACGATCCGATTGCCACAGACATTTGAAAGTCTTGGTTTTTGGGTTTGTTTGTTTGTTTTCGAACCTGCAAATGTGCTGATAAAATTTCTCCACATCTCAGCTTACATTTGGATTCAGAGTTGTTGTTGTTGTTGTGTGCTTGGGGGTGATAGCAGAAACCCTTAAGAAATTGTTGAGTTTTTTTACCCATGGAGAGGAGGGGGTGATCTTTCCTGGTACCTTGAGGAAACATTGCTTCCCTACACAAGAGGTGCAGACCCGCAACAGCCCGCCCCATGGTGCCGCTCAGAGAAAAACGATCCGGTTCTGCCTTTAAACTCACCCAGTGCACCCATCCCCAAAGCTCAGAAGTTTCCACACACCTAACTGCAGCAACTCACAAAGGGAAAAAAGTGATTAGTTTGTAGTTAATGTAATAGGAGGGGGTGAGATGTGGGTAAGACAAACAACATACTGTAGATTTTAAATCATTAAAGTCAAATTCCATAGAAAAGCTTCTTAGTTAGTGAAAGAGCCAAGCTATCAAGCTGGTACATCACTGGATTTAGCATAGGTTAATAGGAGGTTTCTTAACCAGAGCATCTTTGTGGCCGCTCAGTGAAACTCCCAAGGCCATCGTTACCGAATAGCACACGTAGCACTAGACACATTCTTCTTCTGACTTTATTCCCTCTCTTCTCCTACTGGTGGGGGCATCAGACAGGCAAAGACACTTGCATCCATTTCCAGATCACCGCTGTTTCTATGACTCGAGCTGTCAACACGATGACATTGCAATACATTGATTCTGTCTGTGGCCAAGACTTAAACCTTTATAGAACTGGAAATGCCCTGACCACTCAGTAATGGCCAATTAAATGATGAGTCTCTTTTGTTTTGTCTTCCTACCTGATGTGTACTCTAGCTCCAAAACTCATGATTTCCTCGACAAAAGTAGCGACAGTGAATTTACACCACTAAATGTTCACGGGTTCAAGTCTGTACTGACATTGTCATCGATCACTGGTAGGTAAGCCATCAGCGCCCCACAGGAGGGGGCGTGCCCGGGACTTCTATTCCACCAGCGCAGGGAGCTCCGTGTGCCGAGGCACTGAGCCACACACACTACTGGCTGCACACCCCCGTGCTTAGTTTCCCTTCAAAAGTAACTGTTTTAGTCCAGCTGGAGTGGCTCAGTTGGTTGAGCGTCATTCTGTGCACCGAAAGGTTGCCAGTTCGATCCCCAGTCAGGGCACGTACCTAGGTTGTGGGTTCGATCCCCAGTCAGGGCACGTACAGAAGGCAACCTATCAATGTTTCTCTCTCACATCCATGTTTCTCTCTCTCTCACTCTCTCCTCTCCTCTCTCTAAGCATGTCCTCAGGTGAGGATTAAAAAAGAAAAAAGGAAATTGTTTTAAAAAAAATGTGAATTACTGTAAAATAATCTATTTTTGGATTCATGTGTTTTCCAAGTGGATATAGTTTGTAAACAATGTGAATAAAATATTTAACATGTTTTAGTGTCTCTGTCTTGTTAAATTCAGTAAGGCACACCCGGCAAAGCACTGACAACCTAAACCTTTGATGACCCATCTATTTCTTAGTTTTAGGAGATGGAGATTTTTAAAGAACCCCAAAATTAGGAGATTTACAGAAAAATCCAGCTTTCCAGCCTCTTACAACCATCAGGTCTGGCAACGCTGGTCTCAGCGCCCAGAGCTCAGCAGGCCTGCCCTTCGGGCAGAGGCTCTGGCGCCACCTCCTGCCGCTTCCAGACATTCAGCTGTTCCTGCGCCGCTGTGGTTTGTTCGTGTGTTCGTTTCATGCATCCAGAAAGCTTGTACGTTTTGAATTTGAGACCCCTGCCCTGGCCATCTAAGGACGTAAGTATCATATTAATGGACTGGAACAAAGCCCGTGGGTTGAAAGAGAGTGTCCAGGAAATTGGAAATTAGCTAATAAGAGGGGAACTGGGAGCTTTCGGGCAAAGACCTTGGCTGAGGTGGGGGCAGAGCAGGCAGCAGTGCACAGGACTGGGGGGGGGGGGTAACGTGCCACCTGACAGATGCTGTCCCTCCCCCAGAGAGGGAAACAGGCAATTCAGAGAAAAAATAATTAAATCTCTCTGCTATTCAAGAAGTTGTCACTTTACAAAACCATTAAACCAGCATCCTCTTTGTATTCATTTCCTAGGGCTGCCCAAGACAAATCACCAAATTTGGTGGCTTAAAACAACAGAAATTGCCCTGGCCGGTGTAGCTCAGTTGGTTGGGCATTGCCTGGTGCACCAAAGGGTTGCCAGTTCAATTCCAGGTCAGGGTACGTGCCCAGGGTTGCAGGCTCGATCCCCGATAGAAGGTGTCCAGGAGGTAGCTGACTGATGTTTTGCTCGCATCAATGTTTTTCTCTCTGTCCCTCTCCCTCTCTCTCTCAATATCAATTAAAAATATTTTTAAATCTGGCCAGTGTGGATCAGTGGATTGAGGATCATCCCACAGACCGAGAGGTCCCGGTTCAATTCCTGGTCAGGGCACGTGCCTGGGTTGCAGGCTCGATCCCCAGCAGGAGTGTAAGAGGCAGCCGATCGATGTTGATGTCTCTCTCTCATCTATGTTTCTATCTCTCTCTCCTTCTCTCTCTAAAACTACAAAACAATTTTAAAAAGAGTTGAAATTTAAGCCCAGCTAGTGTAACTCAGAGGTTGAGTGTCAACCCATGCACCAAGAGGTCACCAGTTCAATTCCCGATCAGGGCACATGCCCAGGTTGTGGGCCACATCCCTAGTGGGGGCATGCAGGAGGCAGCTAATCGATGTTCTTTCTCATCAATGTTTCTATCTTTCTCTCCCTTCCTATCTCTAAAAATCAATAAAGAAAAAAAATTTTTTAAAGAAAAAAAAATTAATTTTAATGTTTTAAAAAAAAAACAAAAACAGAAATGTAATCTCTCACAGTTCTGGAGGCTGGAGTCTGGACTCGAGGTGTTGGCAGAGCCATGCCCCTCGACAGGCTCTAGGGATGAGCCTTCCTGGCATCTCCCGCTGCTGGTGGCTCCAGGCAGTCCTTGGCCGGTGGCTGTAAAACTCCAGTCTCTGCCTCCATCCCCATAGGACCTGTCCCTCCTCCTCCCCTTTGCTCCCTCAGAAGGACACTTGTCATTGGATTTAGGGCCCATCTGGGTAACCCAGGATGATCTCATCTCAAGACCCTTAACTTAATGACACCTTCGAAAAAACATTTTTCCAAAAAAGGGTCACCTTCACAGGTTCCAGAGGTTAGCCCATGGACGTGTCCTTTTGTGGGTCATCATTCAGCTCACTGTGCCCTTTAAAATGTGAGTTTTACTTAAGCATATAGTTTCGTAATATAATTCATTCAAGAACAGACAATACAAAGGACTGTTTAAAATACCACACTTGAAGCAAACAATACCAAATAAACAAATAAATACAACAGACATTGCAAGATTCACTGAGGAAACCCATGAGAGAGCAAGTATTCCCTTTGTAAAAAGGATCACAATGGAGCTTCCTATAGCAAACTTCCATACATTAATACGACTGTTTAAAATTCTCAAAAACTCAAGAGTAATCAGAACTTTTTAGTTCACCTGTGCTAACCCTTCACATCCTTAAAACCTCTGCTAAGAATTTTAAAAGTTCAATTTGTCTTATTTAAAGTGGAATACCATTAACTAGAGGCAAAGAAAGGGCAGCAGCTTGCCCGTTGTGAGCGCTGAGTGAGAAGAAATCACCGAGCGATCACCAAGTCGAGCGACGCCCCCTTGTCAGATAAAGAAAAAAGTGCATGAGTTTTTAAACTGAAATTCTGACACTAAATTTGAAATGAAGGTAATCCTTCACAGTGCTTCTAAAACCCCAGACCAAGTCCCCCTTTCAGAAGAGTAAATCATTCATTTTAAAATACCGAGAGTCGATAATTAGACAGCGGTGGGCCAGAAGGTAAGTGCAAATGTCTTTTAAGAAGAGGAGAATGGCCCGGCCGCTGTGGCTCAGTGGTTGCGCGTGGACCCATACACCAAGAGGTCGCTGGTTCGATTCCTGGTCAGGACACATGCCCAGATTGTGGCCAAATCCACAGTGGGGGACATGCAGGAGGCGGCCAATCAATGTTCTTTCTCAATGTTTCTCTCTCTCCCTCTCCCTTCCTCTCTCTCTAAAATCAATAAAGAAAAAAAAAAAAAAAAAACTTTTTTAAGGAAACTATTAAAAAAAGATGAGAGCCCTGGCCAGTTTGGCTCAGCGGTTAGAGCGTCGGTCCGCAGACCAGAGAGTCCCGAGTTCAGTTCCCGCTAAGGGCATGTACCTTGGTTACAGTTTGCCCCCGGCCCTGGTTGGGGTCGTGTGGGTGGCAACCACCCGAAGTGTCCCTCTCACATCGATGTCTCTCTCTCTTTCATCCCCCCTCCCTCCCTCCCACTCTATCTGAAGATAAAAGCAAAACATGTCCTCGGGTGAGGATAAAAAAATAAAAAATATAAAAAGATGAGAATGTGAGAAATGAAAACATGTGTCCACACAAAAACATGTACACAAACATTCACAGCAGCACTATTCATAATAGCCAAAATGTAGAAACTGCCCCAACCTCTCCACTAAGAATGGGTAAATAAAACATGGCAGGTCCATACGGTGGAATATTATTTAGCAATAAAAGAAGATGAAGTACATATATACGCTACAAATAAGAACCTTGAGAACATTTTGTGACTGTAAAAAGCCAGTCACAGAAGATCATGAATTATGATTCCATTGAAACAAAATGTATAGAGCAGGAAAATCTAGACAGGAAGTGGATTCCGAACAGCCAAGGGTTGGGGCAGGATTAAGTTGGGGGAAATAGTGAGTGACTGCTAACAGGAACAGGGGTTTTTTAGGGGGCTGATGAAAATGTTCTAAAATTAAATGCGATGATTGCATAACTCTGGGCATCTACTAAAACCCACTGAGTTGTACACTTTAAGTGGGTGATTTTTAGGGTGTACAAATTATATCTCAAAACAGCTGCTATTAAAAAGAAGAAGGTACCAATGATCAAACACTGCTGAGGTCATGTAAGACAAGGAATGAGGAGATTCCATTGCATTTTTTAATTATGTAAAATATACATGAAATGTATCATTTTATCTATTTATAAAGTGTACAGTTCCATGGCAGTAAGTACACTTCACAACATTGTGGAACTGTCACCACCAGCCACCTCCAGTACTTTCTCATCTTCCCAAACTAAAACCCTGTGCCCATTAATCAATAATTCCGTCTCCCCCTCCCCCAGCCCTTGACAACCGCTATTTTACTTTCTGTCTCTGTTTTTGACTATTCTAGGTCCCTCACATAAGTGGAATCAGGCTTATTTCACTCAGCATAATGTCTTCAAGGTTCATTCGCATTGTGGTATGTGTCATACTGTCCTTCCTTTATAAGGCTAAATAATACTCTGGGTGTCTGGCTACACCACAGTTTGTTTATCCACGCGTCCATCAGTGAACACCTCGGCTGCTCCCAGCTTTTGGCCATGGTGAATAACGCTGCTATGAACACGGGGCATACACGTATCTCTTGGGGTCCCCACTTTCACTTCTTTTCGGTACAGACCCAGAAGTGGGGTTGGTGGGTGGGACTGTTAGATTTTAGTGGCCTGGCAGTCATTGGTGACCTCAGCAAGGGCAGCCTGACTGCAGTAGGTTTGAGAGGATAGAAGATGGTGGACATAGCAAAGTAAAGGCAATTCTTTAATAAAGGAAAGCAATTATGGGCCGGGCTGGTGTGGCTCAGTGGTTGAGAGTCAACCCATGCAGCAGGAGGTCGCCAGTTCGATTCCCGGTCAGGGCACATGCCCATGTTGTGGGCCAGATCCCTGGTGGGGGGCAGGCAGGACGCGGCCAATCAGTGTTCTCTCTCATCAATGCTTCTCTCTCTCTTGCCCTCTCCCTTCCTCTCTAAAAATGAATAAAGAAAAAAAAATTTTTTAAAGCAGGGAGCAATAATGAGACAGGCCTATGAGATCAAGAGGAGATTTGAAGAACTTATAAGAGCAGGTCTGCACAATGAGGAGTGATACAGAAAGAGGGGAGAAATGATGGAAGAGAACAGGGTGAACTCCCGAGGAGGCGGGGGCAGGGGACCAGCGGGGCCCGACCTGCGGCGTGAGCACAACTCGTCTCTGTCAACAGGAAGGAGGGTGCATGGCTGTGGATGCTGGCAAGCTGGAGGATATTGGTGGAGGAAAAGATTGGGAAGTTTTTCTATCCTTGGTGAAATAAGGGGCTAAGAGGGAGCGGGGGGGACATGTGGGAGAGTTTACTGAGGAAGGAAAGACACATTTCTACACAGTGCTGAGTGTCCACTTGAGGTTTGTGGTCAAATGTGTAAAAACCCAGCCCTGGCCGGTTTGGCTCAGCAGTTAGAGCGTCGGCCTGCGGTCCTGAGGGACCGGGGTTCAGTTCCCGCTAAGGGCACGTACCTCGGTTGCAGTTTGTCCCTGGCCCTGGTCGGTCGTGCAGGTGGCAGCCACTCGATGTGTTCCTTTCACATCGATGTTTCTCTCTCTCTCTCTGTTCCTCTCTCTCCCTCCCACTCTATCTGAACAAAAAATGGAAAAATGTCCTCTGGTGAGGATAAAAAAAAAAAAAAGTGTAAAAACCCAGCCAGCAGGGCTGTTCTGCTCCAGCCAGTCATTTCAGTGCAGGAGCTAAGGAAAAGGCATGTTTGACCAAGGCTGGGTTCTCGAGTAATTATGACTTTAAAGTACAAATTCTAAAGAAAGAAAAAAGGGAAGTAATGGCACGAAGAGGGTAATGACCAGTGAAGTTTCTAGTAGTGTTGAAGAACTGATGGAAGGTCTATGCTAAATTGTTCAGATATATTCACACACACACACACACACACACACACACACACACTCAGCTCCATGGGTAGAGTACATTTCCTCACCCTTTTGATTCTGGGCTTTGCCATGTGACTTGCTTTGCTTTGGCCGGTATTGGTGAGCGTGATATAAATAAAGGCTTGCCCTGGCCAGGGTAGCTCAGTTGGTTGGGCATCATCCGGTGCAGCAGGGGGTTGCTGGTTCGATTCTCAGTTAGGGCACATGCCCAGGTTGTGGATCAATCCCCAGTGAGGGGTGTGCAGGAGGCAGCCGATCGATATTGTACTCTCACATCAATGTTTCTGCTTCTCTTTCTCTCTCCCCCTCTCCCTTCCTTCCTCTCTCTCTAAAAATCAATAAAAACATGAATGAATGAATAAATAAAGGCTTGAACACACCTGTGTGATCGTAGCCCAATTTCCCGAGAAAGGAAAAACAGATTTCCTCTTCTGGCATTCTTGCCCTTGGCCCTCACTCCTGGCTAGCTATCACCACGGGGCCCATGTGTCTTTTTTGTTTTTTAATCGTCACCCAAGGACATGTTCATTGATGTTGAGAGAGAGTGAGAAAACGTCAATGTGAGAAAGAAACATCAATGGGTTGCCTCCCGTACGCACCCCAACCAGGGATCGAACCCACAGCCTTTTGGTGGATGGGATGATGCTCCAACTGAGTCCCCTGGCCAGAGTGGGTCCCATGTATCTTCATGTTACTTAAAAGGGGTATAATTAGATAGTACCTCCCAGGAAGTAAAACCTAACTGAAGCTAACCTCATCAGTGTTTACCTTTGAAAATTACAAAGGAGGCCTCCGGAAGAAAATTGGAGGCACTTCCATGTGTCAGATTTTTACAACAAGAAACATGGTAGATACATGTGATTGTAACTATTGACTTATTTTTACACTACAGAATAGAACAAAGCAGAATATTAACTAAAAAATTCTGTCTTTCTGTTTATAACCAATATTTAAATGGTAACCTTCTTTCCAATGTCAAATTATATTAATTTTTATCAGTTTACCTTATATATTGTATTTAATACTATCAAGAGATATAATAAAGTTATTCTATTGATAGTATTCATTATTGGGTTCAAATGGATACATTTACTTTCTATGTGTAAAAATATAACAGTTTCCATGCACACTAAAAAATAGGAGTTTAGGCAGGAGAATAAAGAAGTTTGAGCTAGCCCTGGCCGGTTTGGCTCAGCGGTTAGAGCGTCGGCCTGCGGTCCGGAGAGACCCGGGTTCGGTTTCCGCTAAGGGCACATACTTCGGTTGCAGTTTGTCCCCGGCCCTGGTTGGTCGTGCGGTGGCAGCCACTTGATGTGTCCCTTTCACATCGATGTTTCTCTCTCTCTATCTCTTCCTCTCTCTCCCTCCCACTCTATCTGTACAAAAGATGGAAAAATGTCCCCGGGTGAGGATAAAAAAAAGAAGTTTGAGCTAAAAGACAACGAGTTTGTATTTACTAGTGGTCTAATGTTTCCTGACACCCGAGGTCTCGGGGCATTCCTAAGAGTAAGTACAAACTGGTTTTGCAGACCTGAGATTAAGGGAGTGAGGATTCAAGGACAATAGGTCTTCATTTAGTGCTCAGAATTTACCTTTAAAGTGTTCCACTTGATTTTCAAGCAAACATGGGTTTAAAAAATAAAAAAGAGAGAAAAGAACTTGAGTTTCTAAGTCCTTATTTTAAAAACTGATGAGCAGACAAGGAAGTGAGCTCATGACAAGAGATCTGAATACTTTTCAAAGCTGGGCAGTTTGTTCTTTTCCACAATAGAATTAAGGTTCTGGTCCCAGGGTCTAAAGGCAACTGGTTTCAACAAATAACATTATAGTATCCTCATGGTACTGGTATTTTCCATTTTAAGGGTAAGCAGATGATATTCAGGTTAAGAGTCTGATGGGACATTACAAGTTATGTATGGAGCCGAAAGAAATCAAGTACCATTCTTCTAGTCTTATACACGGATTATTTTATTGTAAAAATGTAATAATTTCAAATTGGTCTGTTATGAAATCAGTGCTGTATTAGCATAAATGTAATTCCAAGTGTTTTTAAATCTGATCAGTTCCAAGCAGAAAAAAGCATTAAGCCATGATGGTATTAAAGTTATTTTCAAAAGACACTAAGGCATTAAATGTGTTTTTCCTATAAGGAATTTAGAAAAATTTAAATTTCTGAGTGGATTATATATTTTTTTTCTTCATATACAATTACAATCATATTTTTATATAATAGGCCATGAGATGATACGTAAAATTGCACCAAGAATTTTTTTCTTATCAAATAAAGTTATATTTCTACTAGAAACTTTCATTCTAGTCATTTTAAGTGAATAATCCAACCAAATGTCAAAAGCAAATACATGTTTCTTTTAAATGATTGTTAAGTCCTAACCTTCATTTTCATCAAAAGCCATCATTACATTATTTGTTATAGAAACCTGGATTATCATTTTAAAGACTTGCATTTGCGCCTGCAGCACAGGAAACTCTTCTATCCAGCGATGAGTAGATACGTATGTAAACTCCATGCCTTGCTTCATGGGTGGAGAGCAAATTGGCATCAGACCAGGGCCCCGACCCTCACAGATTAGCTTTCTCCCTTGCAGCCAAGCTAGACCCATGCTGCACAAAGGTGTGAATCGAATTCTGTTTTAAAAGAACAAGACCAGCAGATTAATTAACTCACTCAGCAGCAACGGCCTGGTATTTATCTTAGCTTAAATTTATGCTCAAATGTAAATAATAACAATTCAGAACTCATTCACCTTAAACTATCTTATATTGTCCAGAGCTCAAATGAAGAGCATGTGTTTTGCAGGTGAGTTCTTTAAATCACAAATGACTTTCTAAACAGCTGCTTAAGAAATCTGGTAGTTGTATCTGAGGAGCATCACCCTAGAAGGAAACCAAACTGGGCCTCATCTACTCCAGGGCACACACACTCTGCCCCACCAGGCTGCTCCGGGCTCACCTTAGGCTTCTCAGCGTTGTATTTGTCCAACAGAGCCTGGATGCGGGCTCCGTAGTCAGGATGGACATCACTGAAGTTCTTGACCTGAAAATAAATGTACACATTACTTAGTCCCTAGCAGGCCAGCCCCAGTGTCTGTCGCACAGTGTCTGCTCCGGGGGAGGAAGGATGCTTTCTTGGAAAGTAGAACCACACAGTGATTAACAACACAGAGTAGGACTGGGAGTCCAGGGACAACTCTGACATGTACTGAACAACTGTACATAAGTCATCTTCTGAGCATGTCCACCACCCATAGGTGGAATAAGAGAGTTCACCTACCTCACAGACCCTCGTGAGAAAAGTGCATACAAGCCAAACTGCACTGACTTGTGCGTAAAGACCAACGCAAGCGACAGTGACCTGCGTTAAGAAATGGCCTGATCGCCCTGGCTGGTTTGGCTCAGCGGTTAGAGCATCGGCCTGTGGTCCTGAGAGACCCGGGTTCGGTTCCCGCTAAGGGCATGTACCTCGGTTGCAGTTTGTCCCCGGCCCTGGTTGGTCGTGTGGGTGGCAGCCACTCGATGTGTCCCTTTCACGTCGATGTTTCTCTCTCTCTCCCTTCCACTCTAGCTGAACAAAAAATGGGAAAAAAAAAAAAAAAAGGAAATGGCCTGATCTACGGCCTGACTGTAAAGTACACAAACTCAGTGCCACTCGCTGGGCAATGCCACGCACTTCAAGCAGGAATTCCCGATCGTGGGCAGGGCCCAGCAGACAGCAGGAAGAGATGGGGCATCCTAAATCCATCGGAAGCCTTTCGGCTCCGGCACATGTGAGAAGACAGCCAAGCGTCCGCTCCTTACAAGCTCTCAGAAGCTAAGACCTGCCCAGCGCTAGGCCCTCTGCTAGAGACAGCAAATCGGAAACAGTGCTCAGAGAGTGAAAGGAATATTTACAAACACACTCATGAAAGACAGTTATAGATTTAGAACTCTGCCTACACAGAAAGCGCCCAGTGCTGGTACTTATCTCCAGGCCTTCGAACACATCTAGACAGCTGCTAACCCACCTGTCCCTCCGAACACAGAAGCAGCAACCAAGAGACAAGGAAATAGTGGTGATTCCTAAATTTATAAGAAGCTTATTCCTGCGGCAGGCCAGGAAACCACAAGTGAGAAAACTTCAAAGCACAATGAGCTGCCATCAGAAATACCCTGGCACCTTAGCTCAAAAGTCCAGTCTAACTTTTGAAAGCAGCTCAGTTCTTACCCCTGAAAACGTGCACGTTTCGAGTTGCTTCTGAAGGAGGGTCAGTGTCAAGATGTTACGTGGTTAGGCAGGCTTGAAATCACAAAAATGTCGTCTGAATTTTTATCATCTAAATTCAAAGCAACATCGTGACAGGACCCACATTTTGATACTGAATATTAGTCTTTTGTACAGAACTTGGCCACAGTCAAATTAAACAGCATAGGAGAGAATTCATCCTGAACTCAGCCAAATAGTTACACATTGGACAAAGGGCTAAGGATCAATAGATATGCCAGATCCACTGGAGAGAAAACAATCAGATGGTGACTGGGACTTAGTTTCAATTTTTTAAAGTCCACTTAGCTCAAGTAAAATAGAAAGGATACTTTTCCTTTTAAGGGTTCTCTCACACAGCTGCACTCTTTTCTGCAGCCAGCAGATGTCACCCTTCAGCTTCCAAAGTCTCACTCACCGCTTTCTTCTGGATGAACAGCTGGGCATCTTTCAGGTGCCCGGCAATGTTCTCGCACAGGCGTCTCCTCTCCTCTTCGTTCAGGACACTTGTATAGAATGTCCGCACCTGTGAAATACACAGCGTGGGGAAAACTGAATAACCACTTTATCACACACAACTCACCCAATATGCCACTTTTGAAATGAAAATACAAGACTTCCCATTTGCATAAGAATGAAAGTTTTTAGGATTTAAGGGTAATTTTAAATTACAGTTGAATCCATCATGTGTTGAGTTTCTCACTTTTTGTTTTGTTTTATTGTAAGCAAAATAGGAGGAATTCAGTTATTGATAAATAGTTCATAACTGTTATTTAATAATAATGTCCTTTGTAGTCACTGCTAATAAATCTCTTCTAAACATAAGGCAAGATAGCCTACAGTTAAAAAACCTGCCACAATCTTAATACTGAGAAGTCCAAAATGTGCAAACGATCATCACAACACAACCTTTGTTCAATTCACCCAGAACCAGAGGAAAAACTCTCCTTAGTTATTCAAAAGCCAAGATTTCTTGGAGAAGATGGATATTAATAGTAATATTTTCCTTAGATTATTGAGTTTACCCCTAAAATAAATAGCAATAGATTAAAATAAAAAATAGGAGCTATGTATCAGGTATGAGTCCTAACAGCCTCTGCTCATTTCTAAAATCAACCATTTCTCTGGAAATAGCCCAAGTGTCCATCAGTAGATGAATGGATAAAAAAACTGTGGTACATATACACAATGGAGTACTATGCAGCTGTAAGAAAGAAAGATCTCTTATCCTTTGAGACTACATGGAGGTACCTGGAAAGTATCATCCTAAGTGAAAGAAGCCAAGCAGAGAAAGACAAGTATCATATGATCTCACTTATTTGTGGAATATAATGAACATAACAGTCTGAGGAATGGGGTAGGCCCAGAGACGTGGAAGTGGGGTACAGACTGACAATCCCCAGAAGAGGGGGTTAGCCACAGAACTTATATGCATGTATGCATGAACAGTGGACATGGACAATAAATTGGGGACAGGGCAGGGAGGGAGGGGGAGGGGGGAATCAGTGGGGGAAAAAGGAGAAACATCTGTAACAAAAATTAATTTTTAAAAAAATAATACTAAAATAAATAAAATCAACCATTTCTAGGGTGTAGGTATAACTGTATTCTAACATTTCATTCATTCATTCAACAAATACTTATCGGGTACCTATAATATATATTGTAATATATAAAATATTGTTCTATTAATGTTTATAAAGTCCTAAAATAGCCAATTATCCAAAATATCAAATTTATAAAATATTAAGATATTCATAGCTTTTCTAAGTAAGTTAATAGGTCATAATAACTTTTTTTCGTTTAAGCCCAGTTTGAATCCAATACAAAAGTTAAAAATCAGACTTTGATATTAACACAATCCAATCAAAGTCCTGCCTTATAGGTATTTCCTCAGATCTGTCTCCAATTTACTAATTTTCTCTTCAGCTGTGTCTACCATATTATTTACACATCCTTTGAGTCACTGTATCTGTTGGATTTTTATTTTAAAGATTGTTTTTTTGTTTGTTTCTAGAAATTTCTATTTAGTTCTTTTTCAAATCTACCTTGTTTTTGTTTCTCGTATTCCTTTCTGTATCTCCTTGAATGCTATATGCATGCTTATTTTAAATCTTCTTTTTGATTATTCTATCACGTGTATAATTCTCACATCTACTGCATGTGCAATTTCTCAGGGATTGGGTCTCACATGCGACTCATTTTCAATAAGTTATCTTCTGCAGAAGTTCCAAATATGTCTTTGTGAAGGTATCTTCGTGTGGTCAATTTTTTTCGTCACATCTGCAGAAGCCTTACAAGGTTATTTAGTTTTCCATCTAACATGTACGTGTGAGAAGTAGAAGAAAGGCCTCCTATGTCACCTCAATCTACCAACTTGAACTAAAAGAAATTTGATCCTGCAATTACAGTCGTGTGTTTCAGCCAGCTAGCTCATGAGAGCAAATTATCAAATTTTTAGGCATTCTGTGAATGACTTGTTAAACACAGCCATCATTAAAAATTAAGTTATATAAACTTACAAGTAAATGAACTATATTATAAACAAAAGTTATAAACCCTCAAAACATATCCCTTCATAAATAATATATTCCCAATATTCTTTATATAATTTGTGTTACTGTTATCTATACAACAGTGGGATAGTGAACATCACTTCCCAATACCACAGGTTCAGCGCCATCATGTGGTAGTCTGAAATAATCCCTGGGGAATATTTTCATTATATGAGAGTTAGAGTTGTTCCTCATTCTTATCAACACTTGGTATGGTCAGTCTTTTTAATTCTAGCCCTTCTGGTGTGTATCTAGTGGTACTCTGTGGTTTTATTTTTCATGTCTCCAATGAAGTAAATCACCTTTCCATAGTTCTCAGCTATCTGGATATCCTCTTTTGTGAAGTGCCTATTCAAGACTTTTGAGAATTTTTCCAGTCATCTGTCTGTCTCTTTCTTATTGCTCTATAGTTCTTTACATATTCTGCATGAGTCATCTGTTAGATGAATTGCAAATACATTCTCCCACCTCTGTGGCTTGCCTTTTCAGTCTCTAAATGGTGTCTCATAATAAAAAGAAGTTATTTTTCTCTTCATGAGCTAGTCTTGATAATATCGACTGCTCTATGGTCCAATTTATTAATTCTCTCTTCAGTTGTATTTCATCTCCTTTTAAACCCGTTTATTAAGCTGTTATTTTCCGTTGCATTTTCCAGTTCAGTCTGTCCAGTCAATTCTTACTGATTCAAGTTCTCTTGTTAAATTCTCCATGTTGTCACCTATTTTCTTGAACATATTAATCAATTATCTTAAAACATATACCTGACAATGCTATTTTCTGGATCCCCAGTAAGTTTGCTTCTGTTGTCAGGTTTGTTCTCTTCTTCCCCTCTTGGTTTTCAGTCATAAGGTCTTACCTGTTGGGTATGCCTGGTAATTTGTTACTGAATGCTGGATATTTGATAAGAAAAAATGTAGATAATTTGAGGCTCTAGTTTCCTTCAAAGAGTTATGTTTGCTTCTGGCACACAATTAGGATAAAATGAGGTCATCTTAATCCAGTCTGAGATTGAGCTGATGCAAAGCTATGTCTTAGATTTTGTGAGGTAAGTTTATTCCAGGTATTCCCTTATTCTTAGGCACGGCCTACCAGGGTTTTCAACTGAAAGACTGGATGTTAACCAAAGGCCTCCTCCTTAGTAGTCCTTAAACTCAAATTTTTATCCCTCCAGACACATAAAAATGCAGTAAACTCTGCTCAGCATCTTAGCCAATGCTTACAAAGTAATAAATGCCTTATTAGAAAGGACACCAAATGCCAAGCTCATATCTCTGCACTATTTTTCTGTCCAAGATCTTGGCCCCTCAAATCTTTGTTGCTTTGTTAGCTTTCCAAAGCCTTTAAACAGATGCTTTTTGTATTTTATCAAGCTTTCCAACATCCTCCATGAAAGGATAGGTCTGATACAAGCTAGTCTGCCATAAGCCATAAATGAAAGTCCAAGTGAATCATTTATAAGAGTATAAATCTGGACCTTATTTATTTCCCACGTGACTCTTATTGTTACAAGATTATGCTATAAAACCTATAAACAGTATCATGACTGCTTAAAAACATGAGTTCTACATAGTAATAAAAAATCTCTCGATAAAATAAGAATGAATATCTGGTCATTTTTAATGTGCAAGCCATAGCCTCATTATCTAAATTAATTTTGCAGAAGTTATATTTGCTAGTTTAATAGCAGAATAGACCTCATTAGGCAAAATTCTTTGAGAGGCAGGAACTGTATTGTAATATACTTGGTATCACCTGCACACCAAGAATAATGTAGTTACTATAAAAAGCCTTTCAGGAGATGTTAATGTAGTTACTATAAAAAGCCTTTCAGGAGATGTTTCATTTCAACTAAATATGGTTTATATCCTATAACAAAGTAACTTCTTTTTTATACACATATGTGACTTTCAAATAACTATATCTTCTTAGTTAATTCATGGATATAAGCATATTTTACTTGGATCCCACATTTACAAAGTGAGAAGGTAGAAATGGGTCCTATTCTCATTTAAATACTAATTTTAGTAGCAGCTATCCAAGCAGAACTCTAAGACAGCTATACTTTTTAACTTTATTCTTTTCTTGTGTGGGGTAGAAGCTGCACTGAGCACTTTAAGGAGGTGGCTGCCCTTCAAAGTCAAAGGGCCTCTTTCATTAAATCTACTGAAAGAAGAGCCCTTAGGGAGCCACAGGTCATTGGAAACAGGGTGGATGTTTGACCCAGGGCAGTTAACTATCGACTGGCCAAAAGGCCAGCGAGGCAACCTAGAATGAAAAATTTAGTCAGGTCATTCTGATATCCTCTCTCCAGAAGCTGATACAGAAGTACTGAGAGAAGGAAGAGAGGTCCAAAAAAAAAAGTAATATACGCAGGGAGAAGCCATAAAGAAGAGTTAGGCCACCGTCACAGCAAAGCCACCGCAATGTTAAAACAGAAGCTGTGAGGCAAAGAGGAGAAAAGTATTAGATGTAGAAACAGACGGATGGAGAGCAGCGGGGTCATGTGACTGATCAGCCTACAGCGGGCAACACCTACACTCCTGCTGCTGAGGCCCCTAGAGCTGCTCTGAATCCAGCTCTAGTCCCTTGTACCTGTCAGCCCTGCCCAGTCTTAGGTTTGGCCACACTTAAGTTCCACTGGCCCATTTCTTAGATTTCCATGAAATCACTTCTTCCCCAATGGCCCCCACCTTATCCCTTCCATAAAGTGTACGAGAACTGAAATGAGTCATACCTTGTACTGAAGGAGCAGAGTAACACTACTTTTCAACTCCATCTGATAAAGGGACTGATTTATGATTAGAGATGTCGTCCCTGAATTCAATTTAAGACATACTAGACATTTTGAGAGGGGGGAATCAGTAGATTTAGATAAGTAGAATAATTAGGTGACCCCCTGTAGCAGACCCAGAAGTCATTACCTGAGTGACATTATCATCGTTGGCAGTGTTGTAGCGCCGCACATCCCCGGAAACATGGGCGCTACTTTCCAGGGCATACTTCTGCTGCTGTTCTGGAGCACTAAAGCTGTTGGGGTAGTAGTTGGGAGCACCACCTTTAAAGGCAAACCACACAGATTCACTCAGAGAGAAAAAAAATGAAGGCACTCTACAAACAATACAAAATAAATTCAATTATACATATGAATATATATACACACATACACATACATACATATGTACACATACATATACATGTCATGCACATATTATTTTTAATGTACCATATTTACCCACAGGCAACACTCGGATTTCTTAGAGAATACTGCCATCTTCTAAATGCTCTAATGGGCTGTCTCACTCTGGGTCTCAAAGGAGAGATCTCAAATTCCCCTTGAACACTTAAATGATTAAATCTGTGGAATCTGATGCTTGCCAGGAATAATAAATTTATACAGGTCTGATTTGACCCCACATAAAATGAGACCCAAAGACACATTTCAAATTTTAGAATTTCATGCAGGCTTAGGCTTAACTCAAAAACTGAAATCACAGATTTCTCGGGAGCAACTCAAAGTTCTAACTCCGTTCCTTCAATGACTAAGCCCTAAGATCTTAACTGCTGCAAAGTCGCACGGTAATTAGAGGTAGAGCTGGGATTAGAACTCTGGGATTTTTGTCTCTTCCATTCCAGCACTTTCTATATTCCCAGGGCACAACTCTACTTTGCTTCTCATTAAAGGTTTTTAAGATCCTCAGGATCTCTCTCCCTTATTGATTATGACTTATTCAATTCTAGCTTCACTTCTACTTCCCTCCACAGATAAGCTAAAAAGGAATTTTTAAAACTTTGAACTTCTAGTATGTCAGCACTTATTTATCTGGACTTATAGAAAAAAAGTGAAAAAATACAATCAAAACATTTTTATGACTTCTGGGAAAAACATATGAAGAGTTTATTTCTTCCATTTTGGCATATTGATTTTCCTAAGTGCACTCTGCTTTGGCTATTAGCAGAAACCTGAATTATCTGAACACACCTAAAAAAAAGTAGCCTAGAAACATATTAATGGTGTGAACAAACCAGTCTGGGGGTGGAATTTTACCCAGCACACTGCCAGAACAGATCAACTATCCAGATTGAATAATTAAGAGGCGCCTGCTAATCCCATTTATCAAGGTACCAAGTGCATGTAGAAAGAGGGAAGACAGCATACTATTATAATGATAAATGATACTCTTTATCATTAGCTAAAGAAATTCAGTCTAGGTCAACAAGTCTAAATGAAAAGCAAAGTGCTCCAAAAACCAGCCACCACAGTGGCTTTCTGCATTAAGTATTAGCTCTTTGAAATGTGCCTAGTTGTGTAATTTTTAAATTCTATTTCCAAGTAAGCTCTGGCCTTTACTCAAAGTGGGAGCTGCCTTCAAGGCAATGACTACTAGGAACAATCAAGCACTTTCATCGAACTTGAAGAGCACAGCCCAAATGCTTTACTTTTAAAACAAGGAGGCAGCCCTGGCCAGTTGGGTTCAGCAGTTATAGCATCAGCCAAGGACCAAAGAGTCTTGGGTTTGATTCTTGTCAAGTGCACATACAGTCAGTTGTGATCTGATCCCTGACCCTGGTTGGGGTATGTGGGAAGCAACCAATTGATGTGTCAATTGATGTGTCTCTCTTACATCAATGTCTCTCTCTCTCTCTCTCTCTCTCCCTCCCTCCCTCCCTCCCTCCCTCCCTCCTGCTCACTTTATCTGAAAATCAATGGAAAAATATCCTTCGGTGAGGATTCAAAATAAAACAAGGAGGCAAGGGGTGTATCAAATATATCCATAAGTAATTTTTCATATGTATACCACTATAATGGTAAACAAGTAATGGCCCAGCAGGTATGGCTCAGCAGACTGAGTGTCATCCCATGGACTGAGATGTCCTGGTTCGATTTCCGGTCAGGACACATGCCCCAGTTACGGGTTCGATCCCCAGTGGGGGGCATGCAGGAGGCAGCCGATCAATGTTTCTCTCTCTAAAAAAATCAATAAAAACATTTAAAAAAAAAAAAAAAGGTAAACATGAAGCAATTACTTATTAATGAAATTCCAGAATATGCATGAACGTCTCTGACTCTTTACAAGTGAACAATTCTCAATAACAGCCAGTCTCAATAACTAAAGGACCAAGGGATACAAATGAAATAAAAAAATCAGTTTAGATAAAATGCAGAAGACAGACACAGGAAGTATCAATTACTTTGAGCAATAACACACTCCCATCCCTCTAAAACCTCAGAGAGCAGAAATATGGTAACTACCTAAAATAATAAGTTTGTGAGCATGGAATTGTTAAATACGTGGAAAAAGCTTAGTGATAATGGTGATAAGCGCCAGATCCAAAATTATATATATAAAACAATCTTAAGTATATAAAAATTATTCAGAGAAAAGACAGACAACAAATATAGCAAAATGTAACAGTTGTGGCCTCGTGTTGGGACTATAAATGGTTTTTCTTCTCCCTTCTCTTTTATCTTATAGTTTCCAAATTTCCTTTAGGGCACATGTATTATTTTTATCTTAGAAAAATTAACTTTGTTTGAATATAGACATCTAGAGCTATAAATATAACTGAACAGTAAAATTTCTGAAAGGATCAATGTAAGTAGCCTATTACTAAAACACCTGTCTTAAACAGGAAAATATAAAAGGAAACTAAGATCTATACTAAACTGTGGAATATTAAAAGGAAAAGAAAAAACACTAAGCATTCTCTAATTGGAATAATTAAAATAGAAACTGTTTATCCATAGCACCCAAAAATGTAATTAAAAGAAAAAAAAAAACATAAATTTGATAAATGAGCACCAAAAAACAAACTGCAGAAGCATCTCATCTCACCAGTTGATTTATATGAATTCAACTATATTCAAGTAACAAAAAATGGTGGGGGAGAATCCCTTGATTTTCGCTACATCCCCTATTTTATAACTTACCTCGTCCCCTCCAAATTCTAGACAGACTTGCTCCTCCCCAGCCCTGGCAGAAGTGCAGAGAAACAAATGAACTCTTGTCTCTTGGACTTCCAAGAGTCTAAGTCCTGGTAATTTAAGGAATCGTTCACTTGTGAAGTCTTTAAAACGTAACCCCATGTAGACGCTACTCTGCTACAGTCAGTGGGAAAGCTTCTTCTCCCCAGCTGTCACTGGAAGGATGCACAGCAGGTAAACTCCGAGGTGGAACTCTCAATGAAACATGTAAGATACATAATAGTAAGGAGAGTCCCCAGGCAGTTTGAACCTTCATTGAGGGGCAACGACTATGTGGCTGGCAGGAGAACCTGTGCTGAGTGCCTTCCCAGGGCCGGAGGCGCCGTGGGCCAGACTGAGAGCCCTGGGGCTGCCGCCCCACCCTCGCTAGCAGCGCCCTCTGCCCCCCAGGGCGGGCAGGTGTCCGGGGCCTACCCTGGTTGTCGACCACGCACATGGGGCCGTCACGCTGGTAGTTGGCCACTCGAGCACGGAAGGGACAGTTCACAGGTATCTGAAGATAGTTGGGTCCCAGGCGGTGGCGGTGAGTGTCAGGATAGGAAAAAAGGCGACCCTGCAGTCATAAATGAAACAGACATTGTGTGCAGTAACAAAAAAATGCTAATTTCTACAAAACCAACTGTACAGTAAATTATACAAAAAACCAACACTCGTGTTGCATTCTAATTTGTGTCAGAAACACTTTTGAGCTCTGAGACTTTCTAGATATAAAAGTGCTACACACAAAAAAAAGCCACGGTTCGAAATGATGGCCCTATAATGCCAGTCCTGAACCAAAGATTAGACTGAGTTATATTTACCAAGGCAGCATGGTAAGCATTTCAAAATGTCTTTCAGCTAGTGCTGAAACAAAAAGCTGTGATGAACTCTGTGTTAATCTTAGTATCCAATTATTTAAATACTCTCATTATTCACAGCTGTACTCTGTGAGTCGTCTTCTTTCACTGACTTTATCGTTGATTCTGAATCCGAAAGAGTATTATTATATCCGTAACTCTATGAGCCAAAATAAAAATCAAGTTGAGTAGGACAACGTATGCAATTATTTTGTTCTGAATCACTCATACCAATGGATGGTTAATCCAGTCTCACTGTTCTGTCAATAATTTGCTCTTGGCTGAGTGACTCCACCTCCCACATCATTTCAAATAGTCTAGGGTAATATTTACATGACTGGCCAGGCAGCCATGACTGAGATCCACTAATAGTTTGGAAGCTGACTGCCTTCTTTAGCTCAAAATAGACTAAGTTGTGCTCTTAATTTACCAGCAGAACAAAAGATACTAATGAGTCATAAACAGCTCCTGAATATAGCTTCTATCATTTAATTCTGGTTTTGTGTCACTCTGTGTTTATAGGACAAACCTACCCCACCTCCAGGTGGAGAGCCAAGGTTAGGAAATGGGCACAGCAAGGCCATACCCTGACATCAACTTGAGTCTGGGCCTCACCCAAGGCCCTGTGCCTCAGCTCCCTTGCTGGACCCGAGTCTGAAAGCAGAACTATGCTCTCCCACTCGAGCAATCAGGCCAACTTCTCCACACCTGGCCATCTAGATGCTGGCTCCACACCTGGCCAACTGCAGCATCTAGGAGTGAAGAAAGACTGTACTGCATCACCAGGTACTCAGGGACAGTCTCTCCGTGATTTACATTATACTGTTTTGTCTTTTCACCCTGGTCTGGCTTAACACTTTGGATAACAAAGTTTAAAATGTACTAATGTGACCTTATTGAAAGGTAACTGAGAACAATGTCCATTAATATACAATTATACCCATCCTCAGATGCCTATTAATTCTCATCAGACTAATTTCAAAGTCCTCCTGACTGGCTCTCCACTTACAGTGCCTCCAACATCATCATTTTTCACATTTCTGCCAAAAAACCTTCCTAAGGCTCCACACAGATTACATTACTTACCTACTCATAAAATCTTAAATGACTCCTCACTGGTCACCAAATAGCAAATAAATACAACGGTCCTTCCCTGCATGACCCCCAGTATACTTTATGGCATGAGAATTCACAGGAAAAACTAGGCTAGAAACTGGTATCCTGACTGAACCTAACAAAGCTCTTCCAAACACTTTTTAAAACTCCATTTATATATATTATATAGAGAGAGAAATTTACAATATGTGTGCCATAACTGAAATTAATACTAATAGAAATTATACAATTCATTCATATAATTTAATTCTCTAATAGAATTATAGGGTTTCCATTTATCGCCCTGCTCTTCCCCCACTTTCATTGAGAAGTCCATACATTTGTTTTTGTGGGGATGTGTTTGCTCCATGGTCCTTTCTCCCAGGCTTAGGCTTCCATCCGACGCTTTGAAGTTCTCCTAATTGCATGACTCAGTTCTGCTCACTGCCTCCAGGTCTCATTGTGGACCCAGAGACCCATGGTGACCTGGATTCTTGTGAAAAGCTTTTGGGTGACCTTTTCTCCTGAGCCCGTTCCCTCAATATCAGGGTTATGCAATCTCAGTTCTACCCAGGACAATTCAGTGCCCTGGCAAATTCCATGAACCACTTCTTCACACAGTTCAGCTCCATTCCAACCTCCAAACAGGGGAGGTTCAGGTCCCAGGGTCACAGTCTCGGCTCCCTCTATACCCCAGTTTCAATGTGACCACTTCTGTTTATCCTCTGTAATCTGCTCGACTTCCCTTTTCTAATCCCAATTCCCTCTTCTTCTATTTATCACCAAACAGAATGATTCCACTTGATATATCCCAGATCACATTTCTCAAAAATAAAGACATCTTTCCTTTTCCTAGAAGGGACAATTTCTACTCAAGCATTAAGGTCCCCTGTAACATATGCTCAATGTACCCAATCCTGTTCCCTCTAGTTTAGGAAGGAGTGACTGTTTACAGTTCCAACATACCCAACACAGCCTGCCGTGGTGCCTATACTCATGCCCCTCTCCTGCCTCATTGCACCTCTGTGGAAAACTGAAATCCTGTCCAGTCTTCAAAAGCCATCTCAAATGCTACCTCATTCTTAAACTTTTGCCAGCCTCCTCCTATCAGACAAGATTTCTCCTGATTCACCACAGCATTCTGCCTTACATTAGTTATCCTGTGCTTTTATTCCTGTTATAGCCGCCAGGACAGTCACTTACACACGAAGATAGGTACCTAATTCATATTAGTTAATAATGAAAACTACTGAAAACCTTATTTTCTATAAAAGCCTCAGATGTTCCCAAGGTCAAAGCAAAACAGGTATTAAACAAAGCAGGGGACGCGTAGCTTGTGCCTAGGAGTGGCGCCTGAACTGGAACCAGAGCCTCCAGAAGGAGCAGCCGTCAGTCACTGCAGCCTGACCCCGGGCATAATCTTTAACTTCTGTTTCATGGTCATAGTCTGACACAAAGACTGATTTACTCATTAACTCTTAGGCCAATTCTTTTACTACTGATGTCTAGTCCAAAGAAGAATCTTCACTCTTTGTACACTCAAAGTGCACATTGCAGAGTGATGAAAAAGCACTGAATGCCTATGCACGTTACCAAGACAAATGGTTAAATTAACCAACTGCCTCTAATCACTGACGATATAAATTTAGTTTGTAAAAACCATGCCCAGGTCTCTTTTTACAGACGGGAAAATTCAACATCCCCATAGAAGAGGAAATGAATAAAATTATGTTGACCAGGGTATTATAATCAACTAAAAATACTCCCTCTTGTTACTTACAGATGGAACAAAGAGTGCTTTCTTTACAAACACCTGTGGCATTTTTAAATAAAACTTCTTTTAAAAGGTACAGGACTAAATGTCAGTCTTAAGATGTTGAGGGACTTTACTATGAAATTTGGTTCATACTATAATGCCCATCTCAAAATGTTTCAGTCAGTCCCACAGAAACCAAGGATCCAGATTAATTAAAGTTTAAGTGATGTCCTAGTTAATTCTTCATACAAAGATCATATCAAATTATACAGTGTGTGTGCACACACATGCACACACACATGCACAATTGTGCATACTCCTACCTCAGTACCTGACAATCCAACAAGTTTACCTGAAGCATTTTGTCAGGGCTGGGCTCGATGCCAGGTGGCATGTTGCTCGGGTCAAAGGCCAACTGTTCAACCTCAGCAAAGTAGTTAACTGGATTCCGATTTAAGACCAGTTTACCAGCTGGGATAAGAGGGTAGTCCTTGTGAGGCCAAATCTAAAAGCAATGTGAGACTCACAATTACCAGACAACCTATTAAAGTACCCACAAAAATTCCAGTTTTCAAATATAATGAAGACAGTGCAAATAAGTACAAATAACTATTTACTACATAAAATGATAAGAACTTAAGTGCATTGGTTAAATTTTTCACAATAGTAAACAGTAAATATTGACACTTTCCCCGGGCAAAAGCATATCAGCTTTCCAAAATTTGTTCCCTGCTAATAACAATATATCAAGCCCTGGCTGGGTGACTCATTTGGTCAGAGCATCGCCTATAAGCCAACAGGTTTCAGGTTCGATTCCTGGTCAGGGCACAGACCTAGGGTGCAGGTTCGATCGCCAGTTGGGGCACATATGGGAGGCAACCCATTAATGTTTCTCACATTGATGTTTCTTTCTCTCTCCCTTCCTCTCTCTCTAAAAATCAAGAAACACATATCCCTGAGTGAGAATTAAAAATAAAAATAATATATCAAGCTACCTAAATGAACTCAATGAACTTATCAAACAGGAACTGGGAGAGAGATGCTGGTGAGCACTCACTCATGGGCTAGGACACTCTAAAGTGGCCACACTGTGTTTTGTACGTGACTCCTGCCATGATGAAGACTTGACTGGACATTTGTTAAAATTAGGTACAAAGAAGCAGCGCATCTTCCCACGACCACATCAAAGTCACAACTAAACTACAGAATAACTATCATTCAACACCGCCTGAAACCAAGCTGAATGGAAGTCCTACAATGACAAAACTAAAGCAGCAGCCACATCCAGACTGGTAGGAGGGCGGAGGTGAGACGGGCTGGGCCCACACCCACATGTGGTAGAAAAAAATTAGAAGGATACCTTAGCTGGGAAGGTCCTCGCTGAGGACTGAGGGGTCCCCATCCCACACCAGGTACCCAGCTCAGGGTTCCAGTACCAGGAAGAGAATCCCCATAACTTCTGGCTGGAAAAACCAGCGGGAACTGAGGCTCAGGGAGGCTAAGGTGGCTGGAGCCCCAGGCAGCTCCTCTTAAAGGGCCCGTGCATGGACTTACTCGGGCTCCAGGCTCCAGTGTGGGGGAGGCAGCTTTAAAGGCACCAGACATATGGGGAAGAACTGAGCTGTTTGGCACTGGAGAGAGGGCTGGAGAGGGGGCTTTCTCCTGGGCAGATGTGCTATTAGAGACCTCTGTTCCTTTGGTGAGCCCTGCCCTGGGGCGGCAGACAGCCGCCATATATGGGACTCCAGAAACCTGGCTCACACTGGTTGCTCCGCCCTGGTGATTCCCTGAGGCCCCGCCCCACCCAACTTTCAGGCCCACCCAAGCTATTGCCAATTGCTTTACCATAGGATTGGCCTGTCTTGGATTCTGCTTCAGATTTTCCTAAATTCCTTCAAACAAGCAGCATCTGGTCTCAGCTAGCCCCATACCTCTAGTTAAGTAATACACAGAAACAAACACAGGGAGGCAGCCAAAATGAGGAGACAAAGAAACAGGTTCCAAATGAAAGAACAGAACAAAACTCCAGGAAAAGAACTAAGGGAAAAGGAGATAAGCAACCTAACAGTGCAGAGTTCAAAACACTGCTTATAAGGATGCTCAATGAACTTAGTGAGAACCTCAGTGAACTTAGTGAGGGCCTCAAGAGCATTAAAAAAAGCATGAAGGATGCACAGTCAGAAATGAAAGAAGCACTAACTGAAATAAAGAATAATTTACAGGTAATCAATAGTAAAGTAGGTAAAGCCAAGAAGCACCATCGATTTGGAATATAAGGAAGCAAAAAACACCCAATCAGAACAGCAAAAAGAAAAAAGAATCCAAAAAAATGAGGATAGTGCAAGGAGGCTCTGGGACAACTTCAAGCGTGCCAACATTCGCATCTTGGGGGTGCCAGAAGGAGAAGAGCGAGAACAAGAAATTGAAAACCTGTTTGAAACAATAATGGCAGAAAACTTTCCTAACTTGGTGAAGGAAACAGGCATGTAAGTCCAGGAAGCACAGAGAGTCCCAAACAAGATGAACACCAAGAGGCCCACACCAAGACACATCATCATCAAAATGCAAAAGGTTCAAGACAAAGAGAGAATCTTAAAAGCAGCAAGAAAAAGGCAGCTAGTTACCTACAACGAAGCTCCCATTAGACTGTCAGCTGATTTCTCAAAAGAACTTTTGCAGGCCAGAAGGGAGTGGCAAGAAATATTCAGAGTGATGAAAACCAAGAACCTACAACGAAGATTACTCTATCCTGCAAAGCTGTCATTTAGAATCGATGGCCATATAAAGAATTTCCCAGGCAAGAAAAAGCTAAAGGAGTTCCTCACCATCAAACCATTATTATATGAAATGATGAAGGGTCTTTTTGAAGAAAAAGATAAAAAATATGAACAAATAAAATGGCAATGAGTACATATTTATCAACAATGGAATCTACAAACAAAATAAACAGGTAGAACAGAAGCATTCACATAGATACAGAGAACATTTTATTGGTTGCCAGATGGAAGTGGGGTTGGGGGAATGGGTGAAGGGATTAAGAAGTACAAATTGGTTGTTAGACTGATAAACCTCAAAGGGAAGGGGGGTTATAGGGTGGAAAGAGATAAACCAAAGAACCTATATGTATATATGCATATCCAATGGACACAGACAACAGTGTGGGGAAAGGCAGGAGGGGGGCAGGAGTGGGGAGGAGGGGGTCAATAGGGGAAAAATGAGGAACATCTGTAATACATTCAACAATAAAGATAATTTTTTTTTTTTAAACTAGATACAAAAAGACTTAAAAAAATAAAATAATTTAGTTGTTAGCTGACTTACCTTGGTAACATCAAATGGATTAAATGGACAAGTTTCAGCCTGACTAAATGTCATGACCTGGATGTAAAACGTCCAGGAGGGATAGTTGCCTGTGGCAATGGCATTAAAAAGATCCCGGAGGCCATAGTCAGGATCTTCCTGAGACAGTTTTGCTGCAACTTCAACGGGAAGGTTTTTGATGCCCTGGTCAGTCTACAGAATGAAAGAAAAAAGTTCAGACTGAAATTTACTGGCACAATTAGAGAACTCTAGTAATTCACTGCAGGATTATGCATAACACGACTCAAAGACTGGATTCCTCTTATAACAATAATCCCACTGTTCAAATCTGACACAAATATGAATTTATCGACAGGAAATTCTACTTAATTATTCTGATTCTTATAAATGTCTAGGGAATCCATCTAGACAATTCATATTTAAAATTAGTCCTATCACCCAGCCAGTGTGGCTCAGTGGTGGAGCATCAACCCATGAACCAAGAGACTACCAGTTCGACTCCTGGTCAGGGCGCATGCCCAGCTTAGGGGCCAGATCCCCAGTGGAGGGCATGCAGGAGGCGGCCAACTGATGTTCTCTCTCATGGATGTTTCTCTCTCTCTCTCCCTCTCTCTTCTTCTCCCTCTAGAAAAAAAAAAATCAATAAAAAAAAATTTTTTTGCCCTGGCTGGTTTGCTCAGTGGTTAGAGCGTCGGCCTGCGGTCCAGAGAGGCCCAGGTTTGGTTCCCGCTAAGGGCACGTACCTTGGTTGCAGTTTGTCCCCTGCCCTGGTTGGGTGGTGCGGGAGGCAGCCACTCGATGTGTCCCTTTCACGTCGATGTTTCTCTCTCTCTCTCTCTTCCTCTCTCTCCCTCCCACTCTGTCTGAACAAAAAAAAGGAAAAATGGCCCTGGCCAGTTTGGCTCAGCGGTTAGAGTGTCAGCCTGCGGTCCGGAGAGACCCGGGTTCGGTTCCCGCTAAGGGCATGTACTTTGGTTGCAGTTTGTCCCCGGCCCTGGTTGGTCGTGCGGGTGGCAGCCACTCGATGTGTCCCTTCACGTCGATGTTTCTCTCTATCTCCCTTCCTCTCTCTCCCTCCCTCTCTATCTGTACAAAAAATGGAAAAATATCCTCGGATGAGGATAAAAAAAAAAAAAAAAAAAAGAAAAAAAAAAAGGAAAAATGTCCTCGGGTGAGGATAAAAAAAAAAAAGAAAAGAAAAAAATTTTTTAATAAAATTAGTCCTATCTTTCCCTTTTTATATTCTACATTATTTGAATTTTTAAATTTGTTGATGTATAGTTTATTTTCAATTTTTTTCCCATATAAATAATGCTATATTGAAGTCTTCAGACAAGCCAGAAAGTTTTTTGGCATAAAATTTATCATTGTAACCATTTTAAAGTGTCCATTTCAGTGGATTTTTAAGTATATATCTCAAAATGGAGTTGCTGGGTCATATGGTAATTCTACGTTTAATTTCTTAAGAAACTCCAAAACTGTTTTCCAAAGTATGGTTACTATTTGAATTTTTATACTGTTACTCTTCAAATCAGAAAAAAAAATTTTTTTTAATGAGCAAATATTAAAACTAGAGAACTTTCTTTTTTGCATGAAGCAATTTTTAAATTTCATTTTTTAATAGGTCAAATCAATTATTGAAGATTGTACTCAGCTTGTATCCCTCCACCCCCACACCCTTACCTTTTTTTAAAAGAAATTACAGAATCATAGTTCAGCGTACAGCCACTCTGAAACAGTTCTGTGAGCAGGCAAAAGTAGTATTCTGACTTTTCAAACAAGCTGGTAAGTCCCAAAGAAGTTAAGTCACTTTCACAAGTGCTCCTATTATCTCATATCATACTGATCTTCAATAAATGTCCCACCTATATCTTATTCTAAAAGATCACCATCAAGCCAAGCTCCGTGAAAGACTTCCTTAGCAAAAGTCAACCCTGAAAGACTGGTCCTTTATGACCACAGAAATCCCACTCTCTCTAGCCAGTGACAAGATTTGACTCCTTCTTACTATCAGACCAGAAATAAAGCCAGGATTAAAAAATGGAGGTCACCATCTGCTGATCACCCAAAGAACTAATACCTAAAATTGTGCACTAAGATAGCAATACCTTTCTGATTTTAATTAAGTCCCTTGGGCTTAGAAAAGAATACTCTTAGCTCAGAATAATCCAGACTGGTGAATCTATGTAGCTCTTAGGCTACCTCAGGGCCCTCCACTGAACAAACGCATAAGCAAGCCAATCTTTTCAGGACCATGGACAGCTGGTATTATTATCCCAATTTTACAGAGACAAAACTGGAGCTCAGAGAACTTTTAATAATGTGCCCAAGTTACAGTTATCTAGAAGAACAGAGATCTGAGTTCAGACTGGTTTAACTGCAAAGCCCCAACCATGCTAGCTGTCCCAGATACAATCCTTTAGGCCTGCTCCAACACATCTCCTTTCGGCCAATGGGCCAATTACATGCCAGTTGAAAGCCGATATATTCCTTGCCAAAGATTAGAGATACAAGTTATAAGTATAAAGAGGGGTGACAGTATTCCTATTTGACATACCTACCTAAGTTGTGCAGACAAATATTAAGATAGGACAGATAAGACAGAGACTGTATTGTCATGAGTCCACTTGTGTCTCTTCTTATTTTGGCAGTAGCATTTGGAAACAAGTTCTTAGACAACCAGAGGTTTTCTAATAACCTTCTAGAGTTCTCTTGAAATATTGCTAATTCCAACAAATGCCAAGACCGTACTAAGAGAAAGTTCTTTAAAACACTTCAATTAATTAAAAGGTTCTCAAATGCTTCCCCAAAGGTAACTGACTTGATCTGATTGTACAAAAATAAATTTTAAAAATAAAATTTTTGTTTTCTGACATTTGTAATTGATTTTACTTATTTTCTTTGTTCACCATATACCCTTAATAAATGCTAAATAAATGGATGGGTGAATTAAGATGTTAGGAGAAATGTACTGGGAAAGATAACATTAGATTTTGAAAGTAACGGTGAGATAGGTATTGCTGAAAGAATGTCCCACTTCTGCCTCAGCCCCCTCCTGGACCCCAAAAGATATCTGTATTTAGAACAATGACTCAGCTAGGAAAGGCAGAGCAGAGCACTTTACTGTCTGCTAAGGCTTGACTCTAAACTCCAACAAAGAATCCTAGCAAGCTAGGCTCACCCAGGCAGAAATCTCCTTTGGCCTATCAAACCTTAGATCTTTCCTCTCTAGGGAGAAAAGAACCTCAATGTGCACCTGCCAGCACCAGAAACATTAAACCAGAAAGCCAGCACGAAAGGAACATTTCTCAAATATGTATGGCAGAGTTGCCAGAGGCCAGAAGGAAAAGAAAGCTTGACTATGGACAATAGCTATGTCATCTCACCCTCTGACCATGTGAAAAGAAGAGACCAAAAGGAGACCACACCAGTTCTTCTAACTGGGCAGCATGAACAGGTGGTGGGCAACAAAACAGTTATGGTTCTAACCAAATAGATCAATACTTCTAATCCTTGGGGGTCGGAAGTAAGGGAAAGGTTGGAGAGGCCGTGGTCTTTTTTATCTTTGCCCAATCCTCAGAAGAAGTAAGAATGTGGGTGTGGGGGGTGGCTTCTAACCCTTGCCCCAAAGGCAACATGTACCTTATAATGGAATTTGCAATAAACTGCCTCTCCATTCACATTAACCAGCTTGAAAGTATGTGACCCATATCCATTCATGTGCCTGTGTCCATCTGGAATCCCCCGATCACTGAACAAGAAGGAAACCTAAGGAACAGAAAAATAAAAACTAAAATATTTCGGTTTAAATCAAAACATCCTAGATTTCTAAGACACTCCTAAATTTCCAGACAGTCCCTAGTACGGAACATAGTAGCCAAGCACCCACAGAAAGGGTTAGCATTATTATCTTTTTTTTTTTTAAAGACAGATAAATCATTAACCTCAAAGCTCAAAATTCTATAAAGAAATGTTAAATCAAATCTGAAAACTAACCTAACTTGTTATTCAAATTTTATTTTTATTTTAGCCCTGACCAGTGTGGTTCAGTTAGCTGGGCATCATCCTGTGCACCGAAAGGTTGCCGGTTCAATTCCAGGTCAGGGCACATGCCCAGGTTGCAGGCTTGATCCCTGGTAGGAGGCATGCAGGAGGCACCAATCAAGATTTCTCTCACACATCGATGTTTCTATCTCATATGAATGTTTCTCTCTCTCTCTCTCTCCATTCTTCTCTCTCTAAAAATCAATAAATCTTTTTCAAATTTTTTTATTTTAGCCCTGGCTGGTTTGGGTCAGCGGTTGGAGCATAGACCTGCAGTCCAGAGAGACCTGGGTTCGGTTCCCACAAAGGGCACTTACCTCAGTTGCAGTTTGTCCCCGGCCCTGGTTAGGTCGTGCGGGTGGTAACCACTCAATGTGTCCCTTTCACTTCGATGTTTCTCTCTCTCTCTTCCTCTCCCTCCCTCCCACTCTATCTGAACAAAAAATAGAAAAAACTGTCCTCGGGTGAGGATAAAAAAAATGTTTAAAAAAACAATTTTTTATTTTAATAGTAAATCTGTTTAGTATTACTTTCCCCTCATTTCCCTAATACTTTACACTAGATACTTTAATCTTTAATATTACTAAATATCAATTGATGTTTCTAGCATCATGGAAGGTCTATGAATGGGAAAGACTAATAAAAAGGTCATTATAAAATTCTTCAAGATCAAGAAAACTGAGGAAGCCTCCCAAAAAGAAAGTCAGAAATCAATTCCAATAAACAGTCAAAACTGGAGAAACACATTCTAAGACATCATTATAGTTCCATCCCAGGTGATACATTATAGCTTAAGGGAAAAGGAGCATTCCCACCTGATGCAGAGACTCAGGACGCAGGCTCCAGAAGTCCCAGACCATGTCTGGGTCCTTCAGGTGCGTTTGAGGGTTTCTCTTTTGGCTGTGGATGAAGGACGGAAACTAAATGGAAAAGAAAAACCCAAAGCTAAGTTGATAGGAATTATGGCATCTTATATTATATGCCTATTGCTAGGTTTATGGATTATAATTCTGAATATCATCCTAGAATTTTAAACTGCCAAACCCTAAAATGAAACTTACCCTCCACCTGTTGCTAGGGCAAAGTGCTCTCTGCAAGGAAAACTGAATGATTCCCATTAAGTCAGTGACTCCTAAAATGCCCAATCCAAGACCAATGGTAATTGTTGTAATTTGATCTTATAAAAAGATATAAAATACAGAAAAATGTGTTTAAAAGGTAATCCCCCTCTTACCCGAATTCTCTTACTGCCTTTCTCAGGACTACCCCTCAAGTGCCAATCAATATAGAGAAATCAATTCAAACCAACAAGCATTTGTAGAGTGCAAAATACTGTATCACCTACCAATATGGCATCCCTGATGAAGAAAATGGGGGTGTTGTTCCCAACAAGATCCCAGTTACCGTCCTCTGTGTAAAACTTCACTGCAAACCCACGAGGGTCACGAACTGTGTCAGCTGAGCCCGACTCTCCAGCTAGAAGATTCAAATCGGGAAAACAAAGCATTTAGCAGAGTACTTCGCAACCAAGAAGCCTAAAGTGGTAAAGAAACATTGGTATCTAGCCTTTCCAATCCATTTCCTAGAAGTAAATTAGGTATTTAAGTGCCTAGGTTATTATTTTTACCACCCACCAGCTAATTGGTCTACAAATTAAACAAATGAATTAATTGAGAGTAATAAGAGAATACAGGCATGCCTCATTTTATTGTGCTTTGCTTTATTGCACTTTATATCATAGATGTTTCATTTTTTACAAATTGAAGGCAAGACCCTCCACCAGCAAAAATGTTATGACTGGCTTTATTGCAATACTGCTTTATTGCTGTGGTCTGGAACGGAAAGAAAGCACAATATCCTGAGGTCTGCCGGTATATGTAGTAACAGCTGAAAAGAGTATTCATTTAATATAATTAGGAAGCTTTGTTCAAACAGGAAATTAAAATAAGGGAAGAGAATAATTATTAAGATAAGGTAGTAAACAAAGAGAATAAAAGAGTTATCAAAATTATGAGGTTTATATTAAGAAAAATGAATTAGCCCTGGCCGGTTTGGCTCAGTGGTTAGAGTGTCGGCCCTCAGAACAAAGAATCTCAGGTTCGATTCCAGTCAAGGGCATGTACCTTGGTTGTGGTTCAGTCCCCAGCCTTGGTCAGGGTCATGTGGGAGGCAGCCAATTAATGTGACACATTGATGTTTCTCTTTCTCTCTCTCTCTCTCTCTCTCTCTCTCTCTCTCTCTCCCTCCCTCCCTCCCTCCCTTCCTCCTCCTCCTTCCCTCCCACTCTATCTAAAGATAAATTTAAAAATATCCTCAGGTGAGGATTAAAAAGAAAGAAAGAAAGAAAGAAAATGAGTTAAAATATAGATTCGTATTCTTTTTTTTTTTTAATTTTTTTTTTATCCTCACCCGAGGACATTTTTCCATTTTTTACTCAGATAGAGCGGGAAGGAGAGAGAGGAAGAGAGAGAAACATCGATGTGAAAGGGACACATCGAGTGGCCGCCACCCACACGACCCAACCAGGGCTGGGGACAAACTGCAGCCAAGGTACATACCCTTAGCGGACACCGAACCCGGGTCTCTGTGGACCGCAGGCTGACGCTCTAACCACTGAACCAAACCGGCCAGGGCTAGATTCGTATTCTTAATTTCATTTATTTTTGCATTCCAAAGAACTTTTAAAATGCAAACAGAAAGAGAAACAGAGACAGAATCGCAACACTGTAGTGTTAATATGTAGCATGAAAGATGTACTTCTATTAGCTCTGTTACATGAGAAAAACTGCTTAACCTCTCTGAAATAGAAATAATCCCACTCTGCAGAGTAAGTCTGCAGATCAGATTACAGACAGCTCAAGTCTGTAAACATGGACGGGATAGAGCTAATTCTCAGTACAGGGCAGCTGTTATCGTGGTTATTGAATAAGAACACCAACTCCATGCTTCTGTTTGAGGCAATCAGTTCCTGACAGGAAAATTCTTTCCAAACGTCACAGAATTGCAGAGGTGGCCTCCCCATAAGTGTGATTTCCTAAGACCTCAATGAACATAATCATAAGTAACTTCCTACATGTTTCAAAATATTTTTTCTACTGTAAACACCTGGCTAGAATTTGGAGAAGTGCTTGTTTTCTCTCTTTTAATAAGTTTTTCTTGAAATTAAGTTAGAAATGCCCCTAATAAGGTAGGTACAGGAATACCTGTCATGCAAACAGACCGACTTACCAACAGTGGAGAATCGAATTGCAATGGGAGTCTTCTTTCCAATATGCTCGAACACCTTTGCCTTGGAGTATTTGGTAATGTCATGCGTGACCTCAAAGTAGCCAAAAGCCCCTAATGAGAAACACACAGACATCCTCATCATGAGACCATCAGACTATCAGACCTCACTCAATAGGCATCTGGGTGACAAGAGAAACTGATGGTTTAGCACCAGCCTTCTGGGTGAAGGGGAGATGTCCAAATACAAAATGATGGAGTAAACTCAAAGCCCTATTATCATAGTGCTAAACTGAGTGCTGCACCGCAGGAGCCAAGAGGAGGAGACGAGTGGGCTGGCAGTATCCAGGAAAGGTCGCCCCAAGGACACAGGGCCTGAGAGGGCCTTAAAATACAGGTAGGACCTAGGAGAGAATAAGAACCAGGAGGAGAGGAGAAGAAAAAACAGGGAAAGGAAGAATAAGCACTTAGGAAGGACACTACAGAGCCGAACAACAAGATGAACAACTTATCAAAGTCACCATGGAAAAGCCATGCCTAAAAAGCTGGAGAAGATGGAAGAAGAAGAAGGAAATAAATCAGGAAGTCCTAACTGGGAGTCCAAGGAAGCAGCTAAGGGAAACTTTTTCTTCCTTCCTATCAAACTTTCTTTCGTACTGCGTTCTCAGCTTTCTTTTAAACACACCTCCATCTTTTGTTTCTGTAATAAAAGCAAGGTAAATGTTTTACAGATGTTTTGGACGAAAAGGAAAAATGAGCACAAACCCACCACACTAACACAACTATCCTCAATTCTGCACAGTACTTTCCATCATTCATTCAGTTAGTGCACCACCTAAATCTGGTTATAGTATATCTATGTCCATGTATCATATTTTCATTTCTTCACTAAACTGCATAATGGAAGAAAAGGAAGATTACTTTTATTTTCAGTAAAATCAAGTATTTTATATGTAAGGTTCAACCCACAGAAATAAACTTCATTTAAGTATTAATTCCTATTTCGATGGACATTTGTTCCTTCCCCCTAGAATGGAGATTTGGCACTTCTATTAAAGGAGGGCCAACACTCTGAGAAACCATTCTGAACCCAGGTGTTGTGAAACAGTCCTCAGACATATGGACAGGGCTCTCACCTGCTCCTTTAGCATGGACGACTCTCTCAGGAATTCTCTCCCGGTCAAAGTGAGCCATTTCATCGGTAAAAACCACATCCTGAACCAGAAGGGGCCCTCGGGGCCCTACTGTCATAGTATTAAGTTTGTCCCCTATTGGATTTCCAGCCCCAGTGGTGAGGACATCAGGTTTCTAAGTGAACATGAAAGGAAAAGAGTACAGGAGAGTCAGCACAAAAACAAACAAACAAAAAACACCATGTTCATTTACACTGTCATAGGTACATCATTTTGCAATTATCATATTTTCTACCCAAACTCTTTTAAATTTTTTGTGTCCAAAGTACTAAAATACAAGATATGCCATTGCCTGAAATTTATAGTTAGGTCTCAGACATCCTTGACACCAATCTGCTAAGAAATCTATTCTGAAGAGCAGGAAGATAAATAACCTGCCAACCTGCCCAGCTTCTGCTTTAGATACAGCCATTGGGCTCCACCCCCAGATAGGGATCCCCAAAAAGGGATCATATGTGCTTAACACTGAATGTCCAAATGAACAGTGAGAAGACAGTCTCTGGAGAAGCTACGCTAGTCCACACATCACTGAAAACTCACAAATGCTTTATTATACTAAAGATGTTAAAGTGGGTCATCCTGTTTATTTCGCTCAAGCAGTGTATACCAGCTACCTGCAACATTTCTTTTCAATTCCCCAAATAGAAAAGTCAATGGCTTTATTGTCATTGAATATAAACTGTCACTGGTAAGATAGATAATAGCATTCATTTTCTAAAGATGTCAAATGACTCTGAAATAGGTTAGGTTATTGTACTGTGATAAGGCATTATTTAATCCACTCAATTCTCCAATTTCAGTTACATCTGAAGCCTCTCAGCCGACCCGTCTCTAGGGTGGGAGCAGTTTTCAAAGCCCCACCTGATCCTGAGTAACTCTTAGCTTCATCTGTTCCATCGTCACACACTCCACTTCTGACCCCAGACAAATGTCTCTCCAGTGTCTTCCCCTCACTGGAGAATCAGGGAGATGTGTGGGTGAAGCAAAGCTAAACCCCTCCGTCCTGGGAGGACAACTCAAAAAGTCTACTTATGAAAGTCAACGATACCAACCTCACATACCCAAAAAAGCATGCTCAGAATTTCCACAACCTGGAGTGGAGGATATTCAGTGCCCATCTGTCTTGAATATTAAAATACACTTGATACCTGCCTTTTCTCTAGAAGGAAAAATGGAGGAAAGTCACTTAAAAAAAAAAAAAAAAAAAACAACTATAAAAGTACCAAAAGCTCTTTGGGAAAATGCACTGAATGAAAGAGATCTTGGAATTTGAATAATTAATAAAAAAGACTCACACACATGCGCGCACACACACACATGCACACTAATAAAATCCCCTTAACCACTAGTTTGTCCACGTTGAAATGGGAAAAGGTCAACACGGCGTCGTGGAGAAGTCACAAGCCCCAGCCTCACATAGCCTGGCTCCAACTTCCAACTCTGCTGTTAGCAGATGTGCACCCACTAGAAGGTACATATTAGTTATCTGCAGAATGGGCAAAAAGTGACTACCGCCCGGAGTTAGTACATGATTAAAAGAGCTAAATGTATGTGAAATGCAGGCTGCACACCTAAGCACATGTATGCTACCACTTTACTGGCTTCAAGAAACAGACCTAACGGCAGAAGCACATTCTAGGGTTTAGTTTTTGGAGACCATGACAAATGTGTAGGCCTCCATCCAGACCCTCACCCCACCCCTACCCATTCGGCAGCAAACCCTTCTAAACTGTACAAAAGTTCAACAGTTGAGTCAACAGTTACCTCCAATCACACCTCTCCCTTCACATGTGCTAACACATGTATACTTCCATTTAATAAATCAGAAAAAGGAGTGAAATCATAAAATTCACCTTTCATTTAAACCTAAACCTTAATTTTTCAACCTTGGCTGTCACTGGAATCACCTGGGGAACCTTTAAAGCACACTGATGCCTGGGTCATCCCCCTAGAGATTAGTGACAGAGCCAGTCTCTGGGTGAGACCTGGGAATAGAATTTAACTCCTAGGCAGTAAAGGAGTGAGAATCACTGACCTAAAGCTTCTGGATGATCCACAATTAAAATAATAAACAAGTCTGAGCAAACTAAGTCTGTCTACTCTTTATGTGCTCTTTTCAATATATAAAAAAGGTGCTAAAGTAAACCTAAAAAAGTAGGGGGATGAGGACTTCCGGTCAAGATGGCGGCGTAGGTAAACGCCTCCCACAACCACATCAAAGTTACAACTAAACTACAGAACAACCATCATTCAGAACCGCCTGAAATCCAGCTGGATGGAAGTCCTACGGCTACGGAATTAAAGCAGCAGCCTCATCCAGACTGTAGGAGGGCGGAGGGAACGGGCTGGGCCCACACCCACGTGTGGGGATACAAATCAGGAGGACACCTCGGCTGGGAAGGTCCTCCCTGAGGACTGAGGGGTCCCCGTCCCACACCAGGTGCCCCGCTCAGGGTTCCAGTGCCAGGAAGAGAGTCCCCATAACTTCTGGCTGGAAAAACCAGTAGGAACTGAGGCTCAGGGAGGTTGAGGCGGCTGGAGCCCCAGGCAGCTCCTTAAAGGGCCTGCGCACGGACTTATGGACTCTCTCCCTCTAAGCTCGGAGGGGAGGCAGCTCGAGGGTCACCAGAGTCATACAGGGGAGAACTGAGCTGTTTGGCACTGGAGCGAGGGCTGGAGAGGGGGCTTTCTCGGGGACAAACATGCTGTCAGAGGCCTTTGTTCCTTTGGTGAGCCCTTCCCTGGGGCGGCAGACAGCCGCCATATCTGGGACTCAAGCAACCTGCCTCACACTGGTAGCCCCGCCCTGCTGACTCCCTGAGGCCCCGCCCCACCCAACTTTCAGGCCGTTGCCACTTGCTTCACCATAAGATTGGCCTGTCTTGGATCCTGCTTCAGGTTTTTCCTAAATTCTTTCAGACAAGCAGCATCTGGTCTCAGCTAGCCCCATACTGCTCATTAAGTAATACACAAACAAACACAGGGAGGGAGCCAAAATGAGGAGATAAAGAAACAGGTCCCAAATGAAAGAACAGAACAAAACCCCAGGAGGAGAACTAAGTGAAATGGAGATAAGCAACCTAATAGATGCTGAGTTCAAAATACTGCTTATAAGGATGTTCAATGAACTTAGTGAGAACCTCAGTGAACTTAGTGAGGGCCTCAAGAGCATAAAAAAGGACCAGTCAGAAATGATGGATGCACAGTCAGAAATGAAAGAAGCACTAATTGAAATAAAGAATAATTTACACAGATTCAATAGTAGAGTACGTAAATCCAAGAAGCAAACCATCAATTTGGAATATAAGGAAGCAAAAAATGCCCAATCAGAACAGCACAAAGAAAAAAGAATTCAAAAAAGTAAGGATAGTGTAAGGAGCCTCTGGGACAACCTCAAGTGTGCCAACATTCGCATCTTGGGGGTGCCAGAAGGAGAAGAGCGAGAACAAGAAATCGAAAACCTGTTTGAAACAATAATGGCAGAAAACGTTCCTAACTTGGTGAAGGAAACAGACATATAAGTCCAGGAAGCTAAGAGAGTCCCAAATAAGATGAACCCCAAGAGGCCCACACCGAGACACATCATCATCAAAATGCAAAAGGTTCAAGACAAAGAATCTTAAAAGCAGCAAGAGAAAGGCAGCTAGTTACCTACAAGGGAGTTCCCATAAGGCTGATTTCTCAAAAGAAACTTTGCAGGCCAGAAGGGAGTGGCAAGAAATATTCAGAGTGATGAAAACCAAGAACCTACAACCAAGATTACTCTATCCTGCAAAGCTGTCATTTAGAATCGATGGCCATATAAAGACTTTCCCAGACAAGAAAAAGTTAAAGGAGTTCATCACCACCAAACCGTTATTATATGAAATGATGACGGGTCTTTTTGAAGAAAAAGATAAAATATATGAACAAACAAAATGGCAATGAATACATATCTATCGACAATGGAATCTACAAACAAAATGAAAAGGTAGAACAGAAACATTCTCATAGATACATAGAACATTTTGTTGGTTGCCAGATGGGAGGGGGTTTGGGGGAATGGGTGAAAAAGGTGAAGAGACTAAGAAGTCCAAATTCATTGCTACACTGACAAACCTCAAAGGGAAAGGGGTTGGGGGGTGGGAAGAAATAAACCAAAGAACTTATATGCATAACCAGTGGACATAGACAATAGTGTGGGAAAAGGCGGGAGGGGGGTGGGAGTGGGGAGGAGGGGGTCAATGGGGTAAAAATGAGGAACATCTGTAATACATTCTACATTCAACAATAAAGATTTAAAAAAAAAAAAAAGTAGGGGGACATTCCAATAAAGAAGCAGAGTATGAGAGAGGATACCAACAAGCTCAGTAAACGTAAGGCGAATAGATCAGGGTGTCAATTACATCCCTGCACCCTTAATTCAGGGAAAGAGCTGCTGCTAAGAAAAAGATGAGACATCACATGTCCCCTCCTCATGACCAGGTCAAGGTGATAAGGTCAGTAATAAAAATCATATCCATAGGAGGCAGATGCAGAGTAGTTTGATGAATCAATCAATCAATTAACTAAAAAATGATATGTCTCGCCTGATGACACTGAGTCAAAGAATCTCCAAGTGGGAATGCTGGCATTTGCCGCCATCGGGCCTCCCTCCCACTAACACAGGAATTGGTTCCACCACACCAATCCTGTTAAGAAATGAAATGTAGGTCTGCAAGTTACAAATGAAGTATTCAACATCTCTTCTAATTCCTTGCTCTGATCGATCAATTGTCCTCATTTTTAGCAGCTTTCCTCACACAAGCTAATGTATATGCAATTTGCCTTCCAAGTAAGTGGGGCAGGAAAAGCTTCAACAGAGTCAGCGACTCAGAAAGGAGACCAGTGGGCAAAGACTAGAAGGGAAAAGGTCCCTGACTTCAGGGGATGTTTAGGACAATGTTAGCTAAGACACACTGGCCTGGACTAAAGATAAGAGAGCATTTATTAGAAGGTGAGGAGAAGGATGCAGTATATTTGTTGAGATAGAGTTACTGTAACGAAGCTCTTCTAAACAAAATAAGGGGTGGGGCTGGGAAATGGAAGATGGAAAGCAACTTTTTAAAATTCATTTCTGAGAAAGGTACAAGGCTT